TGTGCACAGTTAATAGTAAAGATGGTTATCTATTGTCAGTTATGCATACAGGTGGATTCACTCTTATTTATCATTAATTTAACTGGAAAAAGAATTTTTTTCAATATATTTTGCTATTTTTCGGCATGGTGTCATGGCCTAAATGGTGTCACCCGGTGCGGTCCGCCCCCCCCCCCCCTTCGCGACGCCTCTATCTCTAACGCAAATAGTTAAAAGATAAAACTAGGGCAGAAATTTCCCACCCCTTGTCAAATACCACCCAAACGGACATTTACCCCCCCCCCCCCCCCCACTCCCCCGCCCTCCTTCCCCCAACAAAAAAAGCAACTTAGCATTGGCTTTACTAGAAATTGGTACCTGTTACACGTGATTATAGGACAATATATGGTTTGTATGTTATACTTCTTTGAGAAATATATTTTTAAAAATAGTTACTGGTTAAATTCACAGTGTCTTTCGGGAATTCGTCGTAGACCCGTTACATTAAATGTGTGAATCAATTATAACATCTAAAAAATATATGGGCCTATAATTCAGGTATAACAGGTACCGATGGCTAGGGGTCTACGACAAATTCCCGAAAGACACTTGCCCGAATGCGTCAAAGCCCGAATGCGATAAATGCACGAAATCATTCGGGCTAACGGCATTCGGAATTAATTTTTTTTTTTTAGGAAAACGTCCGTCTCCAAATAATAGGCTTCCAATACTTATTTCCCACACTGATTAGGTGACTATTGATTCCGTTAAAAACCTGCTATTCAATAGATTTCAGTTGTTTTTTAAACTAATTTATTTTTATTATTTTTGGCCAAAAGAGTTGAACACATTGTCTTGATAAGTAGATCTATAAACCTAAATCAAAATTGAAAGAAAATGTCCTTATATTCTAAAATAGTAAGATGTGTGAAGCGAATCTTATTGAAGATTATAACAGTTAAATGTATATGAATGTATGTTGCGAGTGTGTGTATTAATAAGGCGAGATAAAATATAGTGTGGGTGTACGCATGCGCGAGAGGAAGGGGAGAGAGATGAAGGGCGGAAAAACATGGCGAAGTCTGGAGTTGAACACGATGCTTGTATGAACCAATAAAATATGAAAATTGCAGAAACAAGTGTGAGCGACTGGAGTGTATTATTATTATTTGTAACTTAGAAGGCGAATGTATCGTTTCGTTTCATGTCGTAAATTGTTTGTAGTTTTTAGTTGTGTAGTCCCGTATTATGGCGCCGCTGTCTCATTGTTTATGTCCCTGTTTATAGCTAGTTTGTATATATTTCGTTTATATTGTTGTCATGGTTTATATTAAGTGTCTTTTTATATAATTCTGTTGCATGTTTCTTGGCGTTTGGTTTGTTATCCGTGAATTAGGGACTATTTGTTTACGTGTAGTGTGTGAGGGGTGAGAAAGTCGATTTCCTGCTGGTTCGAGTCTGTCTTTTTGGTGTGTTGAAGGCGATAAGTGAGAGCAGGAAGACTCTCTTGTCATCGATTATAAAGAACACCATCAAGCCGTATTTATTTTGTGTATGTGTTCATCACAGACCTGGACGTAGTCCGAAATTGGGTGTTTGGTTTTGTTTTGTCTGTTTTGTGTCAGTAGTTTTATCTATTCTTTTTTTTGTGATTTTCCTTTGGTTTTATATTTTTGGTAAATAAATTTTATTATATTGTTAAAGTTTTTGTTTTATTTTTAGTAGTTTTATTATTTAGAATAAGGTTAGGTTATTAACCAGTCTGTGTTTAGCCGGGCTTGCACTAACCGGACAGTAGTTAGTGAGATAAGCCTAGAAGGGTAGATTTTAAGGTATCCCCCCCCTAGCAGGACTTACACTAACAAGAAATTTAAGGATGAGTGTGAGATAGCAATGGTTGATATAGATTGTGCTTTGCTGAAAGCTAAATACAAAGTGGCTGTCATGGAAGAACCAATAGCAGACATGATTATTGGGAATGTAAAGGAGGTGAAAGAAAGTAATGAGGAAGATATAGATAGATGGGAAAGTCAAATTGGAGCAGCGGTTGAGACAAGAACACATATAAACACTAAAAGAACTACTAGAAAGAATAAGGACAGAAACTGCATGTGGGAGTACATACAGTAGAATTCTTACGATTTAAGGTTGGAAATAAAGAAATTAGACCTACTGAAGGAAATAGGGACAAAATATTAAATATCAAAACTCCTAGTACAAAGAAAGAAGTGAAATCATTGTTGGGACTATGCAAATTTTATAATATTCTTGTAGATAAATATGCTGAACTCACTAATCCTTTAAGATTTTACTTTCATGCCTTAATATGTAACATCAGTTATCATGCATATATAACCAGGTTTAGTGGATGTAACAATATAATTTTTAACCACTTTAGTTGTATCACCAGCCTCAGCAGCTTAAGAATTTATTTCATTGATTAGCCCTACACATTCCTTTTTGCTAACAAAATCTATTACTTTTTATGTAGTGTGCATTGGTACTTAAGCATCGGTGATATAAGGTATAGCTACCACCACTGAGGACTACTAACATACATTATTTTACATGTTATTGACTTTAGAAAAATTTGTAAGTTAGAAAACCAATTAAATTAAAGCATGGAGTTTGTTATCATAATTTATTAACTAATGTTTAGTTTGTTATTGGGCCTTGTATTTTGTTAACTGATGTTTATGAACATAACAGTTCTGTATTTTTTTACACTTTATATGGTAATGCTAATGGATCCTATTGTTGTTTAAAGTTGTATTCAATTAACAGAGCTTAACTATGTGTTTGGAGTTGTGACTTGGTAAATATTGCTTTCATAAGGACAATGGATTTTTCTAGGAAAATTATGTCAAGGAAATCTAACCTGTAAAGGGACAGCACAATACACTAGCTGATTTCTTATCAAGACAGATTGAAGATGAAAAAACAAACATGGAACTGACTAAAGAAAATAATGACCTGAGACATATCAGCCAATCCTTATAAGGAAATTTTAAATAATGTAGTATGTGATGTGTACTTCTAAAGAACATTAACATTTTAAAAATGTGAGCAAGATAGGGAAAAGTCATAACATGACTTGTATAAATATTTTTTACCTCTATTTTAATTTAGTAATGAAAACGAACATACATTTTGTTGTATTTCTTTGATTTGTATGTATACTGTATATCTTGTTAAGTAATGAACATGATTATGGCAGTATGAGCTGACAGATGTGGTAATTTACATATGTTATGATGAGGAGTTTACCTCAGCCAGTGAAGTAGGGAAATCAAGGATATGATTTGCCCATGGGAGCTATTGCATAGCTATAATTTTGTTCTACTAAAAGAGAGTTTTCCTCAGTTAGATTTATTTTGAGATACACTAAGAGGCAATATTCCTTAGTTAGGTTTAATGATTTTTTTTTGTTGCACTAAGAAGAGATGTTCCTTAGTTAGAGTCATTTGTTCTTATTAAACTAAGAAGGTTTACCTTAGTTACAATTTTTCTTACTGGCGATACTTATAAGATAAGTGACGCTTTACATTTTGCCATGTATTTTATGAATATCATTGTTTTAATTTGGTAAGTGTACATATAAAATAATTTAGGATGTTCATTAGCACGTTTCTTTTTCACATGATTTTCATTTAACTGTTACATGTATAATGAAGATTTTATAGTGAATGTGATGTATATAACAAAAAAATAAAAAATATTAATTAATAAATTAATGTTTTTAAACGGGAGAAAGGGCGTATAACAGTTAAATGTATATGAATGTATGTTGCGAGTGTGTGTATTAATAAGGTGAGATAAAATATAGTGTGGGTGTACGCATGCGCGAGAGGAAGGGGAGAGAGATGAAGAGCGGAAAAACATGGCGAAGTCTGGAGGTGAACACGATGCTTGAATGAACCAAGAAAATATGAAAATTGCAGAAACAAGGCTTGATTTTTGGTTTTGTATGTGTGTTATAGAAAGGTAGGAGAAAAGCCTGTGACAGAGATGAACCTCTATGGTATTGTGTATCATTTTCGACATTTCGTTTTAATTATATGTTTATACTACAATCAATAAAGTCATTAGTGTTGTGTACTTTCTCTACATTAAACTTTTTATCAAAATTGTTTAAAGAGAATTTTTCCTATTTGTATAATGTAATTTCATTATGTTTGTTTTATTCTCTAGAGCGCTCTTGTCAAAACCATAAACACTTCTCTTGTTGCATAACTAAAAATGTGTTTCTCCATTCGAATGTGACTTCATTTTATTTTTATTTTCACATTATTTTTTTCCACTTATTACTGATGATACTGTTCTTATAACCTCGGAAACATGTTGCTGACATAGAGACTGTAAGAAAGGAAGAGAGAGAGAGAGAGAGAGAGAGAGAGAGCAAGAGAAGTGCGCTCATTGCCTTTTATATATGATGATTAGTTGCAAAGATGCATGGATGCATGGATGCATGGATGCATAAATGCATAAATGCATGAATGGATGGATGGATGGATGGATGGATGGATGGATGGATGGATGGATGGATGGATGGATGGATGGATGGATGGATGGATGGATGGATGGATGGATGGATGGATGGATGGATGGATGGATGGATGGATGGATGGATGGATGGATGGATGGATGGATGGATGGATGGATGGATGGATGGATGGATGGATGGATGGATGGATGAGTGGGTGGATGGGTGGGTGGGTGGGTGGATGGATGGTTGATTATGGATTATGAAAGAACTCCGCATAAGTAAAATTATTATAACGAACTGTGTCGGCGTATTTAAAATCGTCTTTTTTTGTTAACTGAATCGATTGAAGGTACTGTTGTTTGTCATCGTAAACCTGCAATTTAGTAAACGAACGATGTTAACATCACTTTTAAGAAACTAAAGCAAAAAAAGCCATGAAAATTTTCATTAAACTTTTATTTGCATAATCGTCAAACATTAAATTAAAGTTCTAAAAGGTATTGTTTTTTATATTCCATTTGGGAACGTAAAAAATTTAATGAAAGATTATATCATAAACAACAACCTGTAGAATCTGAAGGATCACAAAAATTTAAGGGTTGACTAAATGATTACTGACCTTTACTAGTCCACCGGACAGTATTTCAATAGCCATAATAATCTTTTCTTGATCTCCAAATACTACATCGATCGGAGTTTCGGGACAAGAATTACACGAGGCTGTAAAGTGCTTTCCTTTTTTTCCATTTAATACGAATACAGTCTTTGTCTCGTTACCTATATGTATGAAACTGAAAATATGGTATATCCTGTATAATGATTGTAAAGGATTTATTGCAATTGTGAAAATGATAAACATCAGGCGTTGATAAATCTCATTGATTTACACAAAATGTGAAACACTGTCTTTCATTCCACAATTTAAGTTTTTTTTTTTCATAAATTATTTTTAGCCTGAATTAGTGCCTTTAGAAAAAATCACCGCTGTATTTGTATTCTAAAAAAAAACCACTAAGAAGGTGCAAAAATAAATTATTATGAAAATAAAAATTTTCATTTTTAAAGTATTGTCGAATTATTTGCTTCTTGAAAGGCTCTTTGTTTTACAGCTCCAGAACATACAAAGGTTTTCAGTAATCTTTATGGGGTAATACTTCCCCGGAGCACGTCCAACCATTCCCCTTCTTCCAGAATAAATAGGAAAATAAATTTTTAAAGAAAAATTATACTTTATCCAGGATAAGGTTTAAGCGCCCTTCGAAGAAAAATGTCTAAAATAATTAGCCAGTAAAAGCTACAGAAGTTTTAGTGGAGACATTGTGACTCAAAAGAAGCGACTAAGTTTGATTGTAAAGACACCGCTGTCTACAACACCTAGAGGTATTTGCATTAGTTACCTGGGAAGTAAATAAGTCAAGTACCCTTTCGAACCAGACGGTGAATGGGGGCATGTAATGTAGAGTTCAAATGTTACAGGAATCTCAGCATGTGTAGATACAAAGTGATCAGCACTGTGTCCAGCCGCCTGTATTTTCCATAACTTGAATCAGACAACTATCGGAGCAGGATGGGCCAGAGGCGTATCTACCCTTCCGGGCGCCCGGGGACAAACTTTTCGATTTGCATCCCCCCCCCCTCCTTGAAACACAACATGCACACAGGCCATCCACTTACACTATAGAAACATCCAGCAGTGTTACATTCGTAATGAAGAAATAATCTGCATTATGAATAGCTTTATCCTTCTTCTTCTTCGTTCTTAATTATGAGTGTTGAAGGGGATCGAGATTTATCTGCCAGTGAGTTTTGGACTCGAGACTATGTTCGAATTTATCAACCATGAGCTTTTTGCCGACACGACCACGCCTCCAACACAATTAAGCGTTACGTGTCAACTGGTTATGCGCCATTGAATCCATTGAGTCCGATTTCAGCCTGCTTTTCTTTTTGGATTTGCTTCCATAGCCTTTGTCCAACCAAGAACAAACTACAAGGCAGCATTTGTTTAATTTTGGAGTTGTCTCTCTTAGAAGAGGGGCTGTCCCCAGCTAACGAGCCTCATCTGCCCGAGGGTTCGAACTCGAGACTTTTCGGTTTAGCAACCATGAGCTTTACCGACTCGACCACGCCGACCCCTTAGCTTTATCCCATGTCGGTAGAATGAGCTGCAGATCCGACACCTAGTAGCTCCGGTCATTTTGTATTAAAACTCTTGAAAAATAGTTTAGCAACCATGAGCTTTACCGACTCGACCACGCCGACCCCTTAGCTTTATCCCATGTCGGTAGAATGAGCTGCAGATCCGACACCTAGTAGCTCCGGTCATTTTGTATTAAAACTCTTGAAAAATAGTTACATACCGTTCCAAGTCACTGCTCCGTGTCATTTCATATCTAATCCAGTCACCTATTTCAATGTTTCTGCGCAATTCTATAGTTTGATGGTGAATCTGGAAATAAAATCAAACATCGTTGCGTGGCGTGGCGTAGTGTAATGACAGTGTAGTATAGTGTTGTGGACAAAGCGTTTGACGTTTGTAAGGTGCGGTTTAAAAAAGGACAGTATGTATATTTGTTATTACATTTTCCGGCCACCTGGAATGCGAAAGTCTATGTTTTGACCATATAAAAATATAATTGTATTTCAGTTGTTTTTTCGTACAATGCGGATTGCTTGACATTTGCCTACATGTTAAAAAAGATAAGAATCGCATGAATAAATCAACTTACACTAACAGAAGTTCTGTTAATGTGAACGTCACCAAAAACTTTAATGAACCCAAGTTGTTGTATTGCAACTGCATACCGGTAATCGCAGAAATACAAACCGTTAACATACACCTGGGAAATTAAAAATTTCAAATTCATTGTCTTTTATACGAAAGTAAATAATTTTAAACTTTTTTGTCGAGTAAAAAATGTGTATACCAACCTGATATTTTAATTCAGCAGCTTCAATTTTTAACGTAAAATTCGTTCCTCTATTAAACGGCATATCTCCGTTTCTTTCTTCCTTGGCCCATTTACCATCAACCATATGAGTCCTTGCCACAAACTGTCTATTCAATCGGACGCTGAAGTGAAATGCTACGACGGGGAAACAATCGAATTCCAGACACAGCTCAACAGTAAACCTGTTATATCCATAATAATAAACGAGTTTAAAGTGACCAAAAACTGACCTTGACTGACATCAGCCTTATATTTACGATAAAAAATTAAAAAGGCTTCAAAAAAGATATTAGGTAAGAAAATAGGTCTGATGCTGTATGCACCTGGAAATATACCAGTCTCAGAAATGTTTTGTTAAGGGTTTTTAACATTGAAACAATTTCCCCTTCTAATTTAATTATTAAAGGGAAACAACAGAATCAGGAATTTAAACTTTTAATTCCCCCAGTAGTTTTACTACAAACATTGCCAAAAAAAAACAGTTTGATATTACATTTCAGCCCCCCCCCCCCCCTCAAAATTGCAGTGGAAATTATTTTAAACATCGATATTTTTCTGACATCTTATCTGAATACTGTCAAAATAGAGTATTTTAATCAATTCCTATTACAATTTTTTAAAACAATTTTCTAAAACGCGAAATAACGTCTAAAATTCGTTTTCTAACATTGCTTTTTTATAATGCAAAAGTGCGAAGCCGCGCCATCTGAACCCCCCCCCCCCCCACTCCCCCTCATCACACACCGTCACAAAATTACGGACCCCCCCCCCCTACCCCCTACGAGTGTGACGTCATTTATGGACGACCCCAAAGGACATGTTTACATTCAAAAACACGTGAACAATAATATACATTCGTGCGTATATAAGAGCGTGCATAAGTACATGCATGCACAAAAATATACTCACCTTGAATTGTGTTATTTCTAGATTAGTATTTTTAATTCATTTTCAAAGCTTTATTTTATGACTTACTTTCCAGCATTTGTAGGAATGAAGCCAGTTATAGTGTAGATCGTATTTAAAATCGTTTTAGGCAGCATGTCATGTGTGTGGGGCATTTTGTACTACAAAAAAATTGAATAAAAACGTTTTAATAACAAACATTTATGTAATAATATACTTAAAAGAAGAAAAAAGAAAAAAATAAAGATTTTCTTTCAATATATTATAATAAACTACTATTTAAAGAAATAAAATGAAACTATCACGTTTTGAATACATTAAAACTGGAATTAAAGAAGCGACCCACGCTTTTATGTTGTGTGCGTGTGAATGTGCAGATGTGTGTATGTATTTGCTTATGTGTGTACAAGGCATACTGACTAGCTTTGTTTAGGTTTTCAAACTACCTTTTTACATAGGTTGTGTAAAAATTAAATCAACATTATACTTAGCACCAACATTTTATACGTAACATTATTTTTTAATCATTAATGATATTAAGATTTCCTTCTCATTCATTTAACTGATTTAATAATTGTCATTGGTATAGCGTGGCCTGAAGAAAGAGGAGGTTGGATGTATAGGGTGCAAGATTGCTATCCCGAAACTCTCCAGTTCAGATCCAAGATAAAACTCAGTAGGAGCCGCTGAGCCCTCCCTATCCAAGGGGACAGAGCGTAGAACTTAATATGCTATATCCCAGAGGCGTAGCGAGGGGGGGGGGGCGGGGTGCGGACCGCATCGGGTGACACCATTTAGTGGGGCGACACCAAAGGCAAAAAATAGAAAAAATATATAGAGAAAAATGATAATTGCACTTAATTAAGTGATTAATTTGAGTGTGCAAATCGAAAGTTTGAGGGGGGGGGGGGGGGGTTGTAAATCGAAAGTTCTAGGGGGGGGGGGGGAGGGATGCAAATCGAAAATTGAAAGTGTGTCCCCGGAAAGGATTGCTAGGCCTCTGGGGGTGACACCATTAAGTGCCGCACCGGGTGATACAAAACCTCGCTACGCCACTGCTATATCCCAACATGCCTAAGTTACAGAAACAGATAAATTAAACTGCACTTGCCCAATAGACCGTTTATTAACATATCTCATTTAACTTATATAAACCGGATTAAGAAAATAATACCTTTATGCAAACTTATAAAATAACTTGGATAAAATTTTTACGCTGCCTTAACAATCTTTGCATGTAAGATTGAGTTTGGTTATTTATGGTTTATTTATAGATCTATGTCTAATTTTAATTTAAGTTAAACCTGAGAATTTGAATGACTTTTTAATTGGTGATTACCGAAGGGTTTTTACCGACGTGCAGACCATTCATTGGTTACCCTCCGGCAGAGGCGTAGCTGGGGGGGGGGGGGATGGGGGCAAGCCGCCTTCGGCGCCGACACTAGGGGGAACGCAAAACGAGTAGGATAAAAATAAAAGCTTCTTTTATGCTGCAGTTTTGAATTATAAACAGTCTACGTAAAGAAATTTAATGACTGCAAGCATTTACATACTGATATAACTGTTTATTTAACTTTGATTGTGTAATTGTAAAACATATACCCTTAAGAATCTATGACTGGCATAAACTGCTTTCCAACATTTTGTACATGGAGCGGGGGGGGGGGAGGGGGGGGGGCGATTTTTTACGCCAAGAAAAATCGAAAGGTTTTGTACTGTAGTGGTGAATAAATAACTCTTTGAACACTTAGAAAGCTACTCAGACAAACAGACACATAGACACACAGACTTATACACACATAGACACACTGAGAAACACAAAGGCAGACACACAGATAGACAAAAATCTGACACATAGACACACAGACTTATACACACATAGACACACTGAGAAACACAAAGGCAGACACACAGATAGACAAAAATCCGACAAATTATCACACAGAATGACGCACAGTCACAAACACACGCACTTACTCAACGTTATTCAGAAACGTAGACATATAAACACACAAACACAGAGACCCAAGATCACAAGGAAAAATGGACTCACATAGAATTGTGCAGAACTAAGTTTGTTTGTGTGATTTTGTTTATGTTTGAAACTGACAGGAAAAGAAATCAATAAAAGTTATTTTTTGTTTAGTCTACATTTCCCCCAAATAAGAGTGCAACTATTTTATTTGTTAATTGTTCTGCACTTTACCCTGTGTACATCGTTATGTTTTTATTATTATGCATGTCACCGAAAAAAATATTACCCATTGGTTTTTCAAAGCTGTCTGACGAGTATGAAAATATTTTGGATTACTGATGGATATATTTTCCCCTGTCGCGTCATGTATCAAACTTCTCAGAACAAGCGGCAGCAAATATAAGGTATACTTGAGGATATCCATTTCCTATGATTACATAAAAGAAAACAATTTTGAAAACAAATTATGTGTTTTTACTTTCTCGTATACGAAGTATAGAGGAAGTATTTTAATCGTGCAAAAAAAAAAATCCTGATTTTCACAGATCTCGACATTTTACACCTCCCTGAGTCGAAAAAAACCCATAGTTTTGCAATTTTGTCCGCATGTCTGTGTGTGTGTGTGTGTGTGTGTGTGTGTGTGTGTGTGTGTCTGTAAACACGATGACTTGAGTATCGTTACAGCAAGTATTATATCAAATGTGTAGTTCTGTGTAAGCTTTTCAGCGATTTCCAATAACAGGAAGTGGAACTTATTCTACTTTAAATTTTTAAAAGCCTATAACTTGTGTACTGTTTAAGATAGATAAACAAAATTTCCCTTGTAAGTGAAAGATCCAATTCTCAGCCTTCTTTCAAATTGTGAGTAATTTCCGTTGACAGAAAGTAATAATTTACGCTATTTCCGATTTCTAAAAAACCGCAAGTGAATTTATAAAGAACTAATAATATTCCACCCTATTATACACATTTTGTTTGGCGTTCACTTGGTGCGCAATTAATTTTTCTACGAGATTCTTTTCTGTTTTCAAAAAGTTTAAGTAATTTAAAATTGATTAAAAATAATGTCTATGTTCTGAGTTGCCACCTCCCTTAGGGTTATATAAGAATATTCGAGAAAGTTTAGGAGAGATCACTCTGTTTTTCTTCCCCACTTTCCGACACCAGGAAAATGCTATTACGTAGAATTTAATATCAACGAGCACAACAAAATGTACAAAGAAATATTACCTAACTAGCTGAAGGACTGTTGAACAATTATCACCTACAGATATAAAAGATTACCTTTACGTGTTTATGTCTGACTGACCAAAAAAAAAACAACTACCGACTTGATATCACGTGACTACGTATTGTTTAACAAAGACGTTTCTTTCAAACATATATTGTTGTCTTTTCTATATCTATGGGTGGTATTAATAAGGCGTGAATATTTTGTCTAAATAATGAAATATTAGTATGACATAATACTTAAATACCTCGGCCAAATCCTATATAAAAAATGAAGAAATAAAACGACAACACGGAAACTGTTTTTTAAAACATAGTTTACCATACTGCAGAATAAAAAAAATTGGATATATATTCTTTTATTTAAACGTTTTCTTTGTTTATTATTTTTTCCGTTCAACGAATGGAGGTAATTAATATGGGAATTTTAGGCATAGTTAAGTTCTTTTAGTAGGTAAAATATCACGATAAATCATCTTAATTTTCACCTTAATTTTACATTTTTGAGAATCTGGTACTTTCCGGATGCCAAATATCAAGGTTTTGACGCATCTGCAAGTGGTCGCTTGAATTCAATATTTTAAAATATTTTTTTGTAAAGGCCATGTTCAGTTTAGGTTAGTTTTCGGTAACTTTAAACGAAATTATTGTTATGGTTTTAATTTACCCGTTACAATGAGCATGAGAATGAATCGCACACTTTATCGAGAATAATGTCCCTGCACCTTACCTTCAAGTACGCAGTCTGATAGATTTGAGTAGCAAACAATCACCACTTTGCTTATATATGATGGATCTGTCAACTTGTCATATTGATTTCTGACTATGCGACCTAGTTTGACTTAAATACTAAGAGGGGTCAATCAAAAACACATTTATATTAATGAGAGAGAAATGTTTGATGAGGTTAAACATCACACACTAAATAAACGCTGTCTTACATAAATCGATAATTGATTTAATACATACTAAGGACTTACGCGGTTATGTCTGGCCAAGGGACAACCGTATATTTTATGGTATTTTAAGAAATTCCTAAATTAGTTCAATTAACTCGAATCTAAATATTAAATAAGTTGTCAATCTAAGCTTTATGGCATACTTTCCTGAGATAATTATGTTAACCTATAGCTTCCAGTTCAATCTTTTAAACTGCTGATTCTGTTGTAAAATTAGTGTTTGTATTGATTATAACTTAAATGATAATTTAATCTTCTGAGTATACCACCAGCACAATCTAACGCAATCGTAATATATATATATATATATATATATATATATATATATATATATATATATATATATATATATATATATATATATATAAAGCAATGTATATTAGGCTCTCTTCTATCTGTCTGAATGTCTCTGTCTGTCTGTCTGTCTGTCTGTCTGTCTGTCTGTCTGTCTGTCTGTCTGTCTGTCTGTCTGTCTGTCTGTCTGTCTGTCTGTCTGTCTGTCTGTCTGTCTGTCTGTCTGTCTGTCTGTCTGTCTGTCTGTCTGTCTGTCTGTCTGTCTGTCTGTCTGTCTGTCTGTCTGTCTGTCTGTCTGTCTGCCTGCCTGCCTGCCTGCCTGCCTGCCTGCCTGCCTGCCTGCCTGCCTGCCTGCCTGCCTGCCTGCCTGCCTGCCTGCCTGCCTGCCTGCCTGCCTGCCTGCCTGCCTGCCTGCCTGCCTGTCTGTCTGTCTGTCTGTCTGTCTGTCTGTCTGTCTGTCTGTCTAAATACAAAATGTCAATGGTTTTTGCTTGAGTGGGAGTGAGGTGGGGGCTGAATTATGACATCATAATTGTGTGTTTTTTTCTGTCAAGATCTCATGGTTATTTTAAAGCTACAAAGTATAATCTACAAAAATAAAACACTACTGACCCGCAACCTTTAAAAATAAAATACTGGAAGCATGACAATAATCTCCTTCCCTTCCCACCGACATTATCCCTCCTATATTTCCACAGGGTACTTACCTCGGGTAATTACTCTCTTGTCAAATACCCATTGTCCCAAAATTTGAGTAAAACATTTCCTCATATCCATTACGAATCGACAACGAATCTAATAGCCTACTATTAAAATTTAATATAATCTTAAATTTAAAGTAAAACCCTTATTACGACATTTCTTACAATCTGGTACTTTTTCCAGGTGCATACAGCACCAGAGCTACCTCCTTACTAAATACCTTTTTGTCTCATCTTTAAGCAATCAATCTAATTGAAGCACTTTTAATTTTTTATAGTAAATATACGGCTGCGTTCAGTCAAGGTCAGTTTTTGGTCACTTTAAACTCGTTTGTTATTATGGCTATAACAGGTTTACTGTTGAACTGTGTCTGGAATTCGATTGTTTCCCCGTCGTAGCATTTCACTTCAGCGTCCGATTGAATAGACAGTTTGTGGCAAGGACTCATATGGTTGATGGTAAATGGGCCAAGGAAGAAAGAAAAGGAGATATGCCGTTTAATAGAGGAACGCATTTTAAGTTAACAATTAAAGCTGCTGAATTAAAATATCAGGTTGGTATACACATTTTTTACTCGACAAATAAGGTTAAAATTATTTACTTTCGTATGAAAGACAATGAATTTGAATTTTTTATTTTCCCAGGTGTATGTTAACGGTTTGTATTTCTTCGATTATCGGTATGCAGTTGCAATACAACAACTTGGGTTCATTAAAGTTTTTGGTGACGTTCACATTAACAGAACTTCTGTTAGTGTAAGTTGATTTATTCATGCGATTCTTATCATTTTTAACATGCGGGTAATAAACTACTGAACACAGCATATGTTTAGTTCTGAATACAAATAATTAAAGAATTATATAGGCTAGCAATTTACTATTTTTCTCTATATATAATTTTAAAGTTGATATTAAGGTTGAGGTTAACTTTTAAAGGGTGAGGGTGAGGGTATGATCCATACTAAGGTTCAGTTTCTCCTTCCAGCACCCACAATATTTTTAGAAAACTTTTATCATTTTTAATTTTAAGAAGACATATTCCACTGTACAGTAATGGAGTTAAAGTTAGCGTTATGGAGACTGATAGGCTTAGCAAGAGAGGTTTGGGATAATTTCAGGGTTAGGGTAAGATTAGAGATAGTTTTTGCCTTACGAATGGGGTTCGGGATAGGTTTAGGGTTGTAACTATTCTTGATAACTGCAGGTTGTTAAGTATTTTTTTAGATAATAGATAGTACTAACAAAAAATACCCAGAGAGGCCCGGGTTATGAGGACTTTGTACAGCTTTCAAATTAAAATCAAAATAAACGCATGGGAAATCTTCAGTTAGCCAAAAAAAGTATCAATCAAATGCTTAATTATGAGTATAAGTCTATGAGAAGTTATATAGGCGATCAATTTACTATTCGGCTCTAGATGCTGTTGATGATGATATTCAGATTAAAATTACGGTTTGAGGACGAGGGTGAGGGTTAGAGGGATTATAAGGGCTGGGGTGAGTGTGTGGATCAGGCTTAGGTTAACATTATCCCTCCGGGAGCCAAAACATTGTTTATCAAACAGATCAAACAAACAGATCTACTGCAGCAGTGATTGTTCTACAGTAACTAACATACTGTTGCTTATAAAAGAAAAATATATGAGCTGAAGTGTGAATGATTGACAAACTTTCAAACCAATTCCATCACTTATCACAACTCTATAAATAGTCTAATAAGGGTGCTCATTTTAATAATTGTGTATTAAACTAATTAAAAAGTATTAGAGACAAAATGTCCCAGACAAAATGTATTAAGGATAAATGACAAAGTCTCTCAGGATAAAAAATGTTTATTTGAACCATAGTGTTCATTGCAAAGCAAAGTTAATTATAGTATGCATTCCAACAAAGCAGTTACTGGTGATCATCTAACTTTAGCCTCTTTCTTTACATCGCTCAAAGGCATCTGCTCTTCTAAGATTTCAGATTTATACTAGGCAAAAGCCAGCAAAGAAAGTCTAAAATTACATTTCTGTTAAGGAACTGATAAAATAAAATTGTTACATTTCGATCTTGAAGACCCAATCAGGTTTTTGAAAACTATTTCACGTTTTTCGAACAATAATGTAACTAAGACTTTCAACATTTTATTTATTTTATTCATTTTCATGTCTTGTACAGTTAAAATAAAATGCTATTTAAAAAACTTAGTTTAGCCTTTTCATTTAGTATATTTTACAATTATGTGTAAAAAAAAATCCACCTGACAATTTTAAAAAATTGAGATCATTTGTCCTTGAAAACATTTGTCCTTGAGATCATTTGTCCTGACATTATTTGTCCGTAAGAAATTTGTCTTAGGTCATTTGTCCTGTCATCGGAAATATTTACTTTGCGTAGTGGGGTGGGGGTGGGGGTTTAAGTTCCGCGATTGCTTCCAAGTTTAAGTAATCCTGACCAATAATAAAGTGTAAAATCTTACGCGTCACTCTAGTATAAGCCCTAGAATAAACAGAGTCCATGCGTCTCTTTGACAGCTGAATGGGTTTTGTCAGCACAAACTCTAACCACCCCTACATTGAATGACGCGATACATTAGAGTTGGGTGCAAGTAAACCCCTTGAACGACATTGAGACTTTTAACTACAAATTAAATACAGAACTCGATCATTTCACCACAGCGATTAAGTTAAATAACTCGTAGTGGTAAATTAAGTTTTTTTAAAAACATGGATTATCTACCTTAAAATCTGGTCATTATTGCAATATTTTAGGGTAGGCCGGATATACTTTCCATTTAGAATGTAAGTAAAATAATAAACTATTTATGAATTAAATTTTTACTTTGTTTTAGTTTACGAATTGCAATTTTATCGATTAATTTTTCTGAAACTATATATTCACTAAACAAAAAATCAAGGGAAAGTACTCAAGAACCTGTTTTCTGCCTTCATTAACAACAAGGGGCATTCAATGCAGAACCTCGTCTGCGATGTTTATTCGAATGGTGGGGGGGGGGAGCAGTTAAAGTGATATTGACGAACATTCCTCCGACGTTTTAATTTTGTCAAATATGTTGTGAACTTCAATATCAACACAAATGTGATTCTCTTTATAAATCAACAGCGTATTTGCAAACAATATGTTTAAAAATCGATTCGGGGAACAAACTGTTTGGTTTTCGAATGTTTGAAAACGTATAATTCAGGATGAAAATAATTCCAGTTATAAAACAATAGTTTGCGGTTCAAGATAAGTTATAAGCATATCGCACTGCCACATTTCTACAGTAGGAAGATTTCTGATCAGTGGCGTCGCTGTAAATTTTGCAGTTGGTGTCACTACCCCTCCCCCAAGGTAAAAGCTATAAAGCACTCACCTCCATCAAGTAGTTATATCTTGACAGTAGCGCCAAATACACATTTTTTGTTTATTATGGGAATAGAAAATTACAAGAACTTATAATCTCTACATGTTTAAAAGAAAAAAAGCGAAAATTCAATTTTTTAAAAATTAATTTTAAAAAATAATTGTAAAAACGAACATTTCTCTTGCTAAACATAGACTTTAATAAGCGCACGAATAGAAATATTTTTTTATTCTTTAATGATGCGCTGGGTACAATAGACGAATTATTAGCTTTTCAGAGGAAATAAAATAAATTCATAAGTAATTTCTAATATTAGTATCAATAGTGAACATAAATAATGATTTTTATTTACATCGAGTCTAGCATTTTTAAAATGTGGTCGTCGAGGTTGAGGACAGAAGTTTAACACCCTGTGTTTATAGCGAAAGCTGAGAACAGGTCTTGTTAAGGGAGGATACACATAATGAAGTGGTGGTTTATCACTATAAAACTCAATACAACCTGCACAAGTCTATTTTTTTACTCCATTCAAATGTGTATAGATACGCCCCTGACAACACATTCTGTACTTTTGTTCAAGCTGTTGTTCATAAAACCTGCATCAAATGAAAACTTCACTGATTGCAATAAACAATTCGAGATTCATCAACTCAGCGTACAGCTACTCGACGCCATTTTGTAAGTTATTTTAAGTTTTATACGTATAAACCCCTTAGTAATTATATTGACGGTAAAGTTACTGGGAAACATAAATTGTAATCTGGCAACATTCTTAACAATATGTTATTTTATTATTTAAGCTGTTTTAAACTACTCTTTTATTTTATTTTTAAACTAAATTAATATGTTGTTCGGCTGATTTTATACATTACACTGGTTTAAACAACACAGAATTATGTCGGCATAAAAACTTATTACATGTGGAATGAAAGACACGCACCTTCTATTAAATACGATGTATACATTACTTTACTTATGGTTTTCAAATACTTTCTAACAAAAATGTTCTCTTAAGTGGTATCAAGATTTACTTATACCATATTTCCCAATCAATTTGATATTAACAATTTCAATAGTCTTATAAAGAGAAATATAAATAAATGACATAATGTATCTTAAAATAAAGATATGTGGTCGGTATTTACATCATTTGCTAAACCGAAAAGTCTCGAGTTCGAAACCTCGGGCAGATGAGGCTCGTTAGCTGGGGACAGCCACTCTTCTAGGAGAGACAATTCCAAAATCAAATTACTGCTGCCTTGTAGTTTGTTCTTGGTTGGACAAAGGCTATGGAAGCAAATCCAAAAAGAAAAGCAGGCTGAAATCGGAGTCAATGGCCTCAATGGCTCATAACCAGTTGATACGTATCCTTAAATGTGATGGAGGCGTGGTCGAGTCGGCAAAAGCTCATGGTTGATAAATTCGAAAAAGTCTCGAGTTCAAACCCTCTGGCAGATAAGGCTCGATCCCCTCCAACACTAAACATTAAGAACGAAGAAGAAGAAGACATCCTTTAATTTTGAAATTACTAGTAAGTTCCCCTAAGTTCCCATAAGTTCACATAAGTTACCTTAAGTTACCCTTTCGAACCCGACGGTCCAAGGGGCAAGTGAAGTAGATTTCACCTCTGTCAGTGACCTCGACATATGAAGGGACTGTAGTCAGCACTAAGCCCAGCCGTCTTTACTTTCCCTAACGTGATTCAGATACCTATCAGAGCTGAGTGGACGAATTAATTCTACGGATGTGAACCAAAGATCAGTATTTCAGACTTTCCGGTAGCAGACTTATGATGTACTGTGCGACTACGCCGTCCCACTTTAAGCTAGTCAGCTGAACAACAAACCTTTCAACAACAGTGACCCGTCAAAAAAGCGCACGACAAAGAGCGCCAACATAAGAGCGCCGACATAAGATCGCAGAGAAAAGAGCGCCAACATAAGAGCGCCGACATAAGAGCGCAGACAAAAGAGCGCCGACATAAGAGCGCAGAGAAAAGAGCGCCAACATAAGAGCGCCGACATAAGAGCGCAGACAAAAGAGCGCCAACTTAAGAGCGCAGACAAAAGAGCGCCGACATAGGGGCGCCGACATAAGAGCGCAGACAAAAGAGCGCCGATATAAGAGCTCCGACATAAGAGTGCCGACATAAGAGCGCAGACAAAAGAGCGCCGATATAAGAGCGCAGTCAATTAAACAAAACACATGTTGTACGCTAAACGAATATGACATGGTTAACACTTGTTTTAATTAAAACATGTGTCATCATCGGCGCCCTTATGTCGGCGCTCTTTTTTCGTGCGCTCTTTTGTCGGGGTGCACCAACAACTACGTGACTACCTATTATTAAAGTCAAGTTAATCTCTAAAGCACGGCTACCCATTCATTGAGCACAAAGCAATTCGATAATAACGAAACAAATTAAAATTTGAGTAATCTGTATAGGATTAATGCTGACCGTGATATGATTAATTAAATTATTTTCGTGCTATTAGTAACACCAGTATACGACTACATAATCTTGTGTTATTTAATTAGTTGTATTGCAATATAAAATGTTAGTGTTATGGTCAGAAATAAGGGTTAGAGCTATATGTTATATAAGTATAATACAAGAATATTAATTAAGTCTTTTTTTTCGTGTTATATTACTGGTAGTAAAGTATTTTCAAATACAGTTAACCCTATTCCAAAACCTAACTCACACTGTTGGTAATTCGTTTGTCCCATAGCAAAGTCTTCCGAAAATTAGTGTTAGGTTAATGTAATAAGGTAATATCCTTGACACCAATATCAGCCTGCTTTTCTTTATGTCCAAACCAAGCACAAACTACAAACTAGCAGTTGTTTTATTTTTGGGTTCTCTATCTTAGATGAGTTGCTCTCCCCAGCTATTGTGTCTCATCGATCCGGGGGTTCGAACTCGGGACCCGACCACGTCGACCTCTTTCTTAGGGTCAGAACTTTGGATTTCCTGTAGGCAAATGCAGTAGCTTAAATTAATATTTTAAGCTGGTTTTTAAATTTTGAGATTACACCCGCCCATCTCTTTAAAGTCATTTGTCAATACCATTTTATCATGAGATACAGTATCATACCTTGCATAACATTACTGTAAATATGCAGCGAAACACCTGTTTTCCCATGTATCTTTTGTCAAACTCGGTAGCCAGACACATGCCCTCAAAACCAGATTTTCTTACGGAGCGCCTTCAACCCCCCCCCCCCCTTCCCCGATGAAAGTCTACCCCACTCCCGGAATTTTATCTGTTAGTCTGGAAAAAACACTGCTCAAAGCCAAGACCCCGTTACAAACCTCAAAAGTTCAACCTCTTCAAGCACAATCAGATCCCATAGCATTGTTATTTGAACGTGTATCTACCTTTTCAGTGGGCATGGACCAGTGGAAATACTTGTTGTTAAACGTGTATCTACCTTTTCAGTGGGCATGGACCTGTGGAAATACTTCTTGGTTGCTCTTTCCCTGCTGATGGGATCAAAGATGGTCGAGTCTAACTCAAATCATCTACGTAGGTTTTACTCCGCACTCATGTTTTACACATTTCTCGTGTTTTACACCTCACGTGAATAACATTCTAACGGTTCCATGACAAATAATCTCAGGACAAATGATCTCAGACAAAATATCTCACGGACAATTGATCTCAGGACATTGATCTCACCCGTTCTAACACATGTATATATATATATATATATATATATATATATATATATATATATATATATATATATATATATATATATATATATATATATATATATATATATATATATATATATATATATTTATATATATATATATATATATATATATATATATATATATATATATATATATATATATATATATATATATATATATATATATATATATATATATATATATATATATGTATATATATATATATATATATATATATAAATGTAAATATAAATATATATATTTATTTATTTATATTAATGTATAGGCTATACATATATTTCTTTATTTATATGTATATATTTATTTATTTATTTTCATATATATATATATATATATATATATATATATATATATATATATATATATATATATATATATATATATATACAACACTTCAGCATATTTCTATTCCTTCGCTTTAGCACTGAATGCATCAGTAGTTCAAATAATAGAACGTCTGGAGAAAGTTGGAAAACGTAATGAGGCAAAGTGAAGACAGTAAAGTTGTCTTGCTTGGTTCCCTAACGAGGACTCTACGCAACCAACAACGCAAAATCTCTAATGTCATAAAATACATTGCTTGATAACAAAGTGATGCGTTTGTTTTCTTGTAAATGTCCTCGCGTTTGTCTTGTAAGCTTCGTGATGCTGAGAGAGGGGAAAGGTCGCTTTCAGCAAGTGGCAATTTCATGAAGCTTCTGGTACACAATTTTTAGTTTAGGCAATAAACATAAAACAAACATGATAGAATTCATAGGGACTTCATAGGGAATTCATAGGGAATTCTTAGGGCATTCTTATGGACTTCATAGGGAATTCTTAGGGTCGGCGTGGCCGGGTGGTAGCGCTTACCACTGCTAACTCGGAATTCTTGAGTTCGGATCCCAGGCTCGAGTGTGTAGGTCGTCCTTGAGTTCACTCAGCTCTCCTCAGGTACCTGACTCCTTTCAGTAAGTCTAAGGCCTGCTGGGCCACACTATGTGTGATGAAATCATTGAAACAGCTGAACTCTACTTCACCTGCCCGGTGTGTCATTGGTATGAACGGCAACAGTCTTAGTAAAAAATCACGGGCTTATATTTTTAATCAATACGAGCCGACCCGCGGCATATCATACGCCGCTATTTAGTTTACGTTTTTTCTACTTTTCAGTAATTCATGATTTATGAATTCGACACTACCAACGCTGCCACTGAAAATATTTCTTTAAAACACTATAAGTAGCTCGTTAAGGACGATAACCCCCCCTCCTCCCCCCCCCCTCCGTTAAAGTAAACTCCACATAGTTACCCCCCCCCCCCCCACGTTTAAAATCATTTCAAACTAAATTATCTGCCCCTAATAGTCGTCACTAAACCCGGCTCTGCTTGTAAACCACAGCTCACCAGACCATGTAGGGGTGGGGGGAGTAGGAAGCGCGCTTACAGCTTTTTTAAGCGTCTCCCAGAAGAGAATTATATATTATACAGATAGTTTTGCACCGACGTATGTCAAGGATGATAGTATAGAAAATGAGGTCAGAATGCGTTGGCTGGGTCTGAGGTCATCTTGCCCTAGCCTTAATGTGGTTATATATTGATCGCAGTGCGCCTTTTGTGAAACAAATGGTGCACATGCCACAATGCACACAAAACACAATGCGAAAATGGTAGGCAAAATGTTGAACAGCTTGCTCTACGGATGAAGGGGGGTGTTGTAGATAAGCTACATCTTTTATGAACAGTCTTAGATTTGTAACATTCTTATATTTTGCTTTTATTTCTGCCATAGGTAACGTTTAGAAGGGCAATCAGACACAAGCTATCACTCACATACCGCTTTAACATTTAATTTGATTCAACTTTTTTTAACCAAGATGAAACAAGCAATTTCAATTAGATATTTTGAATAGGGCCTGATTGTGTCGTTGTCTGTGAATGAACGGGATGGTTTCCTCAAAATGTGATATAATAAATGGAGTGGTGGTCTATAAAAATGTTATATAAGGTTTATACCGAGTAGGAGTAGCATTTCTCTATTTTTAGGAGAATTACTTGACAGCATTTCTTTTAACCCAGCCACCCCCCCCCCCCTTCTCAAGCTCGCCTCGTCCCCAAGATAAAATAAATCACATAAATTTAAATAGAACATAAATAAACCATTCTTGTAAACCCTCTCCCAAAGTTTCCCCCCTCCACCCACCCCCTTTTTTTTAAAAAAAAAGTTTACTATTGTCTGAAAAACCACTGACTTTCTCTGTAGTTCATGAAATATGATCTTTTCATTTGTTGCTAGTTGGCACTGTACAACCAAGTCTTTGCCCTATATCTGCACTATTATCGTGCTGCTCTGTATTTCTACTACACACAGACATATATATATATATATATATATATATATATATATATATATATATATATATATATATATATATATAACGCCCCTGTTGTTATACGGCTGATCAAAAACGTGAGAGCTTGACACTCACATTGAGATTAACAAAGTGTGTGTGTGTGAATGTGTTTGAGTGAGGGGGAGGAGGAGGGATCTGTACTCACCAACAACTGACGTAACACACAGCTGTCTATCAAACTCTGTTTGGCCAACATATGTAGCGACCTAAGCGCGGACCTACTATTGATTAAATTCTTTGATAGTAGTATACGGCTAATCCAGATAAGGATTTACATATTTTAACAGATAAATCCATGCATAACATAAACATGTATTGATGTTGTTAAACGAGAATAGTTATAAAACTTATAAAAGTGTCCGTCCCGTCTCCCCCCCCCCCCCCCCCCCAAATAAATTTCAAGTGCCCACTCCCAAATTGATACCGTTATGTCACGTTAAAATATACGTCACGTCAAATTTATACCGTAATGTCACGTTAAAATATACGTCACGTCAAATTTATACCGTTATGTCATGTTAAAATATATGTCACGTCAAATTTATACCGTCTTGTCACGAAATGATCTATCAAATTCAAACCGTCCTGTTCACGTTAAGATCTGTCTGTCACGTCAAATTCACCCCGTCATGTCACGTTGAAATCTGTATCAGCTTTGGGGTATCTAAGGTATCTTGTTTTAAAATCGATGACTTGCCACGTAAAGTTTTTTTATCTAAAAAAAGGGAACTTGATTTAAAGGAATATATTGTCATGCTAAGTTCTCTAACTATAAACTTAGATATTTTAATGAATATCTTGTCACGCCAAGATTAAAGTTAAACTGTACGAGACTTGAGTGTTACGTTGCTCTTTAACAATGTCACGTCCCTTTTTATCCATAGCTCGTTCACGTTTATGTCTTTGGGGTTTACATTATGCCTGCTGAGTTTGTAATATTTTCTATTCACTTTTAAAGCAACCCAGAGCTTCTTGTTAGTTTTTTATACCCCCCACCCATTCATTCTTCACCTATCTGCCGTAATTCTACACCTTGCTAGGTGACATGATCTAACATAAGACTTAGTGGGTAGGGGGAAAGGGGGAAGGGTTTAAAGGAGGGGGGCAGGTGAAGTAAGCTGGAAGATTTCACTACAGAATGTTTCTTGACTGGTGCCATATATGGAGAAAATACGCTACACTTACTAGAGAATTTTTGGCTGCAGAAACTATGTAACCTGTATTTATTCGAGCGTAACGAATAAATATATTTTCAGGGTTAAAAATGTCACATCGAAAATATGCTACAGATTGTTTTGTTTTTCTTGTTCGTTTGTTGGTGTGTGTTTGTGTGTTTGTCTCATCGACAATTTTGCTAGAGATTGGTTTGTTCTTTTGTTCGTTTGTTGGTGTGTGTTTATGTGTTGTCACATCAAAAATATTCTAGAGATTGTTTTCTTTTTCTTGTTCATATGTTGGTGTGTGTGTTTATGTGTTTGTTTGCTTGTGTTTTGTTTGTGCTTTTGTTTTTGCGCTTGCAAGTGTGCTTGTATGCTGCGTTACTAACAGTAATATTAATTGTAAAAGTGTTGGTCGATTTAAAGAATGAAAAACAACCAATGCTTTCGTTTTTATCATTGTAGTTAAAAAAATATATGAATGTTTATTTTCGGATGTTAAATGCATTATACATTTTGTTTTTGAAGGTTTGTACACCTTTTCAAAAACTGAATCTGACATTGTTTTAAATTAATTGAATGTGCGTTTAAAGTTTGATCCGACCGCTTCGCCCCCTTACTAAATATTTGATTGATTTAAACTTGTGATTGTTTTTTTTTTACTCTTAGATACCCTCAGTGGCTGAGAAAGATATTTTAACAATAAGCAAAAAATGTGCCTTTGAAATATATGTGTAGGGTAATTCAATGGATTAATCGAGTCACAACGAGTTCATAATATCAAATGACACGTTCATCAATAGGTTCATAAAACTATCTTCGTGCAAATAGCAATATCTTTACATTCTGCCTCCACTGCACTTCGGGAAAGGTGGGGTCAGGTACAGCATGCAATTCCAGATCTAATTTACATAACCGGTTTTGATTGAAACGCAATTTTTTTTCTATTATTATTAAATTGTGTCCTGACAAGAATCTTCTACTTTTTATACTTTTTTTTAAACCGATCAAACATAATTTTATTATTAGAAAAGGCTATAAAGTGTTTTTAAAGTGTTTATATATTATATCAGAGGCGTAGCGACCCTTCCCGGCGCCCGGGGACATACTTTCAATTTGGCGCCGACTTGTGAGCAAATTTTCGATTTGCACCCCCCCCACCTCGAACTTTTCATTTGCACCCCTCCCCTCGAACTTTTCATTTGCACCCCCCCTCAAACTTTCGATTTGCACCCCCCCCCCCCTCGAACTTTTCATTTGCACCCCCCCTCAAACTTTCAATTTGGCGCCCCCCCTAAGGTCGGCGCCCGGGGACATATGTCACCCCCCGCCCCCCCCCCCCTCGCTACGCTACTGTATTATATATATATATATATATATATATATATATATATATATATATATATATATATATATATATATATATTCATCCCTTTAAATACACTTAGATGTATTTCTTCTTTCTTCTTCTTCGTTCGTAATTTTAGTGTCGGAAGGGATCCCCTCCAACACAATTAAGTATTATGTGTCAACTGGTTATGCGCCATTGAGGCCTTGGACTCAGATTTTAGCCTGCTTTTCTTTTTGGATTTGCTTCCATAACCATTATCCAACCAAGAACCAACTACAAGGCAGCAGTTGTTTGATTTTGGAGTTGTCTCTCCTAGAAGAGTGGCTGTCCCCAGCTGTCGAGTCTTATCTGCCCTAGGAATCGAACTCGAGACTTTTCGATTTAGCAGCAATGAGCATTACCGACTTGACCACGCCGACCCCTGGAGGTATTTGAATTAAGGGTAACTAGAGAATCTTTTTTTCTCCTTGTGGAACATAGGGCCTCATCCATCACCTTCCAACTTGACCCGTACGTGGCTGTTGATTTTACAGCCTCATAGGCCAAAGCTTGCTTGTTGTTTTTTATTCGCTCACTTAAAAAATCGTGGGACTGAGTGGTCTAGCGGTAGAGAGCTGGACTGCTAACCCGTAAGTCTCGAGTTCGAATCCGGGTTCAAGTCAGTAGACCGGCCCTGAGTCCACCCAACTTTAATGGGTACCTAACTCACAATAGGAACAGTAAGGGCGGCTGGGCAAAGTACTGACCACACTATCTCTTCATACGCCGAGGTCACAGAAACAAGTGAACTCTATTTCATTTTCTCCATAGACCGTCAGGTTTGGAAGGGAAACTTCCTTTAAAAATCAGTACTGAACTGTTTGACTTCTAAGTTATTAATATACGAAAAAAAAAGATTTCACACTCGAATGTAGGCCTATCTACGTGTAAATGAACTGACTTACCCATGTATAATAACTTTTAATTGCATAATGTTGCACTTAAAAAATAAACTATTTTAGTCAAATAAATATTTCAAAAACTTTTTTTTTCCGTATGTGGCTTTCTTTTTACGAGCCGACCCGCGGCGTATCATACGCCGCTATTTAGTTGTTTTATTTTTTACTTTTCAGTAATTCATTATTAGTGAATTCGATAGTACCAATGCTGCCACTGAAAATATTTGCTTTAAAACACTACCCCCCCCCTTCCCTTTCCCCTAACCCCAACCCCTACCCTATCTCCCCCCCCCCCCCAGTGAAAGCAGCCTCCTCTTAGTTAACTCCTCTAAGTTAAAAATCGTTTCAAACTAAATTATCTGCCCCTAATAGCCATCACTAAACCCGGATTGTTAGCATTTAGGGTGAACCATCGCTCACCAGACCATGTGGGGGTGAGGGTGGTAGTGATAGAGAGGAAGAGAGGGGACTGCAAGGCGCGCTTGCAGCTTGTTTTCTAACGTCTCCCAGTAGAGAATTATATATATATATAGATTGTTATTTTGATCTAATAGGGGTTAGACAAAACCGTACATATAAATCCCCACTTCATAATGTTCGGCTAGGATTGCTGATTTCAAGTGATTCAGTTATAATCTGACTGCTACAATTGACAACCCAGCTCACATACAGCCAACTACGGTCGTGGGAATCTAATTAAAATTTCATTACTAAATATTAACCGAAGCATGACCAAAGTCGAATTTGTTAGTGTAAATCCATATTCAATGAATTTTTAATATAATCTAAATGAAATCGATATTTATAAATTACACGTATAACAGGTAATACACTTTTTTGTGGATGACAGTAAATACAAAAGTGAAGTAGAGTTAATCTGATTGAGATCGATATATGAAAGACTTCGCGGTCAGTCTCAATTGGTCAATTTTAAGATGTAGGTGAACATGAGGAAACGCAGCTTTTAATAGTAAGATCATAACAGTCTTGCTAGAGATCTATATAATAACATCAGAGCTTAAAGCATTTAAAGCACTTAATCCTGTGTTTACCTGAAACTTAAGTTCTATTTTGTGAGGATGGAAGCACAAATGTTTAATTTGTTAAAAAACATCACTCATTTAGAAAAGATAATATTGTTTTACTTTCCATACATATTTTCGTTAGGACGTCGCTCAAAAAAGCTACAGTGCGTACCTAAATCAAATATGTAGGAGGTCACTGAATGCAGCTCTAGCGCGTACCTGATTCAAGTCTGTATGACGTCACTGAATGCAGATCTAGCTGGTACCTGAATCAAGTCTGCATGACGTCACTGAATGCAGATCTAGCGGGTACCTGAATCAAGTCTGTATAACGTCACTGAATGCAGATCTAGCGGGTACCTGAATCAAGTCTGTATGACGTCACTGAATGCAGATCTAGCGGGTACCTGAATCAAGTGTGTATGACGTCACTCAATGCAGCTCTAGCGCGTACCTTAATCAAGTCTGCATGACGTCACTGAATGCAGATCTAGCGGATACCTGAATCAAGTCTGCATGACGTCACTGAATGCAGATCTAGCGGGTACCTGAATCAAGTCTGTATAACGTCACTGAATGCAGATCTAGCGGGTACCTGAATCAAGTCTGTATGACGTCACTGAATGCAGATCTAACGGGTACCTGAATCAAGCCTGTATGACGTCGCTGAATGCAGCGGGTACCTGGATTAAGAAAGTGAAATTAAATACGGTTTGGCATAGATCCAAATTTACTTGTTATGTACATGTCAAGGTCACAGACCGGAGTTAAATCTACTTCATCTACCATATTGATCGTCAGGCCCGAAAGGGGTAATAATAGTTACAAAAACTAGTCCACACTTTCCCTAGCGCTAGTATTCAACACCTCCTCTAGCACTATCCACACCTCCCCTATCACGAGTCCACACCTCCCCTGGCACTAGTAGTCAACACCTCCCCTAGCAATAGTTCACACCTCCCCTAGCACTAGTCCACACCTCCCCTAGCACTAGACCACGCCTCCTCTAGCACTAGACCACGCCTCCTCCAACTCTATTCCACGCCTCCCATACCACAATATAATTGATATGTAAAGAAAATTGTTTCTTTCAGGCATCTCATAGGTGGGGCGGGGGGGGGGGGGGGGGAGCAGGACCGCCCCTTACCCCGGAGCACGTCTACCGCACCCCTTCCACCCCCCCCCCCCCCTCCTATACCACCCCTGAACAAAATATAATTCACATAGAAAATACATATACTTACTTGTATCCGCCCCCATCTCCGTTGCTCCCGAAAATTTTAGTCCGCCCCTCACACCGAAAGTTCCCTGTGCCCCCCCCCCCCGATCCCAGAGAAAAAAAGTCTGAAAGAAACACTACGTAAAGAAGACCCACTACTTTAAAACCTCAGGTGTGTCACTACCTATACGTCGACCCCCATGATACACTCTGTTGATGTTGAATAATAACTACCAGCATTAGTTATTCGTCACCAACACGGATAATGCTAATTAGTTTGTGGGTTTTGTCACAGGAATACGGTTAAATCAATGGCGCACTCGTATGTGCTGTATGAGCCGCGTAGAAGGTTTTAACACATATAGTATGTGTCTGTGTTGTTTTCCGAGTGTAACCGGTACCCGGATGTACTCACGAAGCGAGTAGTCTCGGGTGTTGACAAGTAGAAGACTTAGAAGAAGAGTTTTCAAGGACGTCAGCTTTTTATGTGTAGGGTTATTATTACAGAGGTTCCGATGTAAGGTAATGAAAAAAAATATTTGTAAATCTACGGCCAATATGGCAGATGAAGTAGAGTTGTTGTGGTTAAATAATGAATGGTATGTGGTCGGTGAAAAAAAAAAGTTATAATGTGACTTGGCATAGACCTGACCACATTATCCCAATGTATGCCAAGGATTATTGAAACAGATAAACTCTACTTCATCTGCCCCATTTGTCTTGGGCACGAACGGGGAAACATGATGATGTGGTCGGTGTATTTTCCAGCATCATTAAACACAAGTTCCAATGACCATCTTAAAATAACTAGACAAAATGAAAATGGTTCAGGTTTTTAGGTGGGGATCGAACTGCACCCTTTACAACACATCGCCTACACTAGAGCATTAAGTGGTACTTATGTTTATTTCTATGGGACGGTGTGGCCTAGAGGTAGATCGCTAGACACCTAACCTAATAGTCTAGAGTTCGAAGTCAGTAGAACGTCCCTGGGTCCACCCAGATCTGATGGGTACCGAACTCACGTTAGGTAAAGTAAAGACGGCTGGACATATTGCTAACCACAGTATCCATTCATATGCCGAGGTAAAGAGACATGAATTCTACTTCATCTGCGCTATGGATCGCTAGGTCTAAAGAGAATTCTTTTTTTTATGTTTTTTTCTATCTTGTATAATGAACCCTGACCAAAGCGCATAAACAAAACAAAACAAGAAACATGAGAGATAATCACGATCCATGTATAATATTATTGCCATTATTTAACTTTTTAAAAATGTAATAGACATGAAGCATTATTTTTGCAACTAGACAAAGTAAAGTGAAATACAGATGAATATAAATGCTAAATTTCTCTATATTTAACCCACCTATTGATTCTGAAATGCGAGTAGATGAGGGAAGAAAAAAAATTCTCAAACGCGTCATGATTTCTCTTAACTGCTGAAGGGCTGGGCGAGATAGCTGTGACGTCGTCACGCTGAGGTAGACTGGCCAGGTAAGCTGTCAGTCTGTCAGTCTAGGTGTTTTCTCTGTTGGACGCGGTCTTTGAGTGGTAGGGTGCCGTTTTCTATTTAATTTAATTTAATAAAGGCTTTAAAATAGTGATGAATTATAAAAAATGTAATTTTTATTTTTATTTATATTGGACGCAGTCTTTAAGTGGTAGGGTGCCGTTTTCTTTTTCATTTAATTTCATTTAATTTAGGCTTTAAAATAGTGATGAATTATATAAATAATTGTAATTTTTATTTTTTTTTTGTTTTTGTAAATTTTTTTTTTTTCATACATGAAGCTTATGTATGTACTCCGTAGCAATAATTTAATTTAATTTAAACGCAGAACAAACAAGAAATTGGTTATTTAGATTAAGATTAAAAAAGGGAAATAAAAAAAAACAAAGAAAGTTACAACAGATTTTACTGAGTCTTTCATGAACACTACGATTATAAAACTAGAAAAATGTATAAACAATAAGATTTATTCTTTTTCTAAATTAATTTCTACTTTTATTATTACATATTTTATATCTTTATATGCCATTCAAGAAAATAAATAATTCGAAAATCATTTTAAAAAAATAACTAGTATGCTTTTGATTATGCAATACAAAAACAAGCAAAAATTATTTAACCTAACACGATAATAGGAAGAATTAATTATCTATCATAATACAATATGTAATGTCAGAATTTTACATTAAAATTAACCCCAAAATGTAAGCTCCCCTTCACTGCAATTCATATGAATCTGTGTGCTACATACTTAGTATATACATTTATTAAACAACCATCTATTGCATTTACTGTATATAATTATATATATATATATATATATATATATATATATATATATATATATATGATTGAGGCTATAGAAAGCGACCAAGCGTTACCAGTATTTGCTGGTTTAACAAACACATCTTGCTGAAAGATTAATTTTACCAGTGCCTACAACTGGACGAAAAATCGATATTATCGATGTTCTTAAGCTCAGATCAATAACCACCAGGCCGTGTCGCCCCGCCTCTCCACGCCCCTTCCGTCCCCCCCCCCCCCCCCTCCCCGCTACTACTGTCTTTGACTTTGACTCTGTTCCCACTCTTTATTATTCTTCTGCTTTATCTTTATTTAGTCTGTCTTCTTGTTTTAAATCTCTAGCGTTTACTAACCCTCCCCCTCCCTACATTCTTTTTATTTCTTTTAAATGTTTAATCAGTTCCGACCCTCTAATCTTAAGTACTCGCTATGCAAATTTGTGAAAAGAATTACCACCAATACTTGTGACAGGTCTAGGTAGCAATGTGACGACATTTAACCCGGTTTTTTTGCACGCTCTGACGAGCACGTATATCTAACCTACGCTGAAGTGTCGTGCAATTTAAAAGGCTGAGTTGGCAACTAGAACATTTAGAAAAGACATGATATTTTGGCTCGACCCTCCTAGGCACCGACTACCGGTAGATAAATCTTAGAAAAAGAGAATGCATACAGCAAGCGAAAAAAGAAGGATTTTATTTTTAATTTATCGCTGTCGGCTGGGGTTGGGGGTGGGATGGGTGGATGGGGTCTCTTTTGAGTCCCTGTCCGAATTTATTTTTTTGGTGTTTTATTAGCTGTTTCTCCAAGTTTTTTTCATAAATTTGTGTGTGTCAGTTCCAAGTTAGTCAGATCCAGGTGTCAGTTCTGTGTCAGATCCAGGTGTGTCAGTTCTGTGTCAGATCCAGGTGTGTCAGTTCTGTGTCAGATCCAGGTGTGTCAAATCCAGGTGTGTCAGTTCTGTGTCAGATCCAGGTGTGTCAGTTCTGTGTCAGATCCAGGTGTGTCAGATCCAGGTGTGTCAGTTCTGTGTCAGATCCAGGTGTGTCAGTTCTGTGTCAGATCCAGGTGTGTCAGATCCAGGTGTGTGTCAGTTCTGTGAGTGTCGGTTTCAGTGTGTCAGTTCTGTGTCAGATCCATGAGTGCCAGATTCAGGTGTGTCCGTTCCAAGTGTGTTAGTTCTGTGTCCGTTCCAAGTGTGTCCGTTCCAAGTGTGTCAGTTCCAGGTGTGTCAGATCCAGATGTGTCAGATCCAGGTGTGTCAGATCCAGGTGTGTAACTTTTCGTTTTGACTGACAGTTGTTTGTCACCGAATCTAATTCTGACAATACCCAAATGTAAACAACACAAAAAAATTAATCACACATTAATTGAATCTTTTTAAAAATTGTTCAAACTTCCCTCACAACAAACAATACAGTTAATTTAAAAAAAAAACGTCTTATTTGTGAAAAGAAAGAAAAAATGTGCCGCTTCCCTAAATTTTAGGAAAATGTTACTTAAACTAATACCCCCCCCCCCCCCCATACCAACACTCCGTTGTAGCTTTACATGTCACCTTAACATGTCGGTCGTGTTACCACTGTAGAGTGCTTTAAGTGTTTATCTTGTCACCGTTGTAAACGCCTCACATTCTTCGTGTCAACATACAACATACGTCCATCTCGCATCACCATCTACAAGCTTACTTAGTGGTTCGCCACATTTGTACTTTTAACATACTGAGATACCTCATACTTTTCCATTACATATTCTTATTTTTATAAAATCATGTTTCGCTTTTCTTGTTGCTTTTTTTTTTTTTTTTGCATCGTTAAGCTCAGTTATTGCTTTCCTTTTTTTGTTTTTTTTTGTTTTTTTTTTTGTTTTTTAATTGTCTTCCATTTGTTGCTAAAATAAAAAATCCATTTTTATAGCTTTGTTTTAATTATATATCTGGATAGCCATGTGAAAGGTTAAAAAAAATGGAGTATATTTTAAACTTAATCCAAGCCTACATCTGTTTATTTAAAAGTATACATACATAGGCCTACGTGTCTATCACAAATTGGAAATAAAATTAAACAAAAGCCATGTACATCGCTAGCTGTTTTCATTAAGTCAATTTGTGAGCGGACAAGAACGATAACTTCATTCTTCTTGTTCCAGCTATCGTTAGAGTTGTCTTCAGTGTGAGGTAGTCGATCAATACACACGTCATACATTGTCATCACACACTTAAACATTGTCTTGTAAACACTCATACGGCCTCGCCTCACACATACGCGACAGCTGCAGCTAGTGAAGTTATTCGTGTGTAATAATAGTAATGGGTGTCATGGTTGTTGTATTCATGGGTTTTGGTGTTAATGAGAATGTTCATATCTAGGGTGATCGTGTTGTGTGTATGTGGAATGTTTATATCTGACGCATGAATTTGTTGAATGCATGTGGAATGTTATATTAGACGCGTGAATTTGTTGAATGCATGTGGAATGTTTATATCCTAGGTGTGAGTGTGTTGTATATGTGCAATTTTTAAATCTGAGGTGTGAATTTGTTTACAGAATGAATTTGGAATATTTATATCCTAAGCGTGAATATGTTGTGTGAATGTGGAATGTTTAAATCTAAGATGTGAATTTGTTGAGTGACTGGAATTAGGAATGTTAATATCTGAGGCGTAAATAAGCAGGATGAATGCAGAATGTTCATATCATTTTAGGCGTGAATCTATTGGGTGAGTAAAAAAAACGTTAATATCTGTGACGTGAATGTGTTAATGTGAAATGTTCATATATTTGATAGAAAACGTAGAAAAAATCATCATTGGTTCAGTAGTTAGGAAAGTTCATGGGGTCTAGTTAACCTGTTAATCCGGGTTAGACATCGTCGATATATAAAGCCACGCACCAGATAGCAGCAAACCAGGGGACTCTTAAATTTGTGAAGTCACACTTTTGTATTTTCAAAAGTAATTTTAGGCATTGAAGTTTAGTATTTTTGTTTAGTATTTTTAAACGATTTTGATTATTAATTATAAATGATGATGTCATCTAGCCAATATTGTATACTTTATTTGCTGCCATCATTGTATAACTTGTTTCCTGCTACCTTTGTATACCTTATTTGCTGTCATCATTTAATACCTTTTTTGCCATACCTCCTGTTTACTTTAACTCCTATCCCATTGTATGTTTTTTCTATCCTTATTGTATAGGCCTACCGTATATTCTACACACATATTTTGTACACACCTTACTTTCTACACTCAAAATATTCCTCATTCGTTGCAAATATTCTATTCCTCTCTTTCTATTCTCAATTTATTCTTTATTATTTGACATGTTGCATACATCATTTTCTACACGTAATTTATACTTTATCTCATGTTCTGACTATAGAAATAATCCTCAACCGCTCCCTTCACCCTCCACCCACCAACCACCCAACACATACCCTTTGCCCCACCGGTTTCCTGAAGTAGAAGTTGACATCTTCCCACTTTATTTACTCTTTAAAAATCTCATTATTTAGTGCAAACATCAATCTTTACAAAATATACGCATCACTTAGGACGAAGTTTTGCAATACCGGTATTTTTTTTTTAAATTCTCGGGTAGTTTGCGTACATCAAATTAAAGGAAAACAAATTTCAAAAGAATTTGGGCGTTGAATTAGCGTATACTATTTACGTTTTTAAAACGTGTTCAAAGTACGCATTGCAATTCTTGTGACATTTTTATTTGGAACACACACTAATTCGTATAGTAACACTTACATTTCTAGTTCAAGTGTAATGTATTGTACCTCGAGAATCTAGTTTTATATGCAAGGTGGACTAAGATACCTATACCAGCAGCTATGCTTGACCGATTTCTTCACTGATGTATAGATTTTGTCAAGCCAGTGACGGTTGTGTAGAAAAAAAATGGGGCGTTTACTATTGCGTAGTCTATTTCTAAAATAAGATTTTGGTCTAAGTAGGATTGGTGTTAGTTGAAATCGACTAATCCTGCTTGGGAGAATTTTTACACCGGTGTCCGATAATGGAATCTTCTTTTTTAAAAAGTATGTGTTAGGTTACTAGTTGTTAACTAAATACACACATGGCTGGCTATTGTCAATGCTAACCCTGTCCCTAACCCCAACCCTGGTCCTACCATATGGCTAACCCTAATTTCTAACCATAAAATTAGTCGAGATTACAATACTACTAACAACCCACCACACCATTTTTTTGGAAGAGTCTATTATCGGACACCGGTATCTAAAATCATCCGAATCGTTAACTAAATAGAATATATTGGTGTGGATGAGGAAACTCAACTCTGAAGTCTAAGCTTAAGGCGTCTACATTTAAAAACCAAAAAACAATTAGAGTAGTCTAATCGTAAAGTCTACAGTTAAGTACGGCGTATATAGGCTTGTATAGGCTATAACAGTCAGTTACCATTTCGGATCTTATGTGACGGTTTATATGACAGATGAAGTAGAGTTCATCTGCTTCAGCGACCTCAAAGTACAAGGAAAGAGACATTAGATGTATGCACAGTTGACTTTACGTTCACTAGCGTAAATAATATAGCCTACCTATAAGAGCTGGGTAGACCCATCAGTTTGGTTCGTAGTTTGTATTGTATATAATGCACCAAATGCATTTGGTAGGGGGGTCTTTGAGAAGTGATATGAACAGAGGCGTAGCGACCCTTCCCGGCGCCCGGGGACAAACTTTCGATTTGCCCCCCCCCCCCCCCCCCCCTCAAGATTTCGATTTGCATCCTCCCCTCAAACTTTCGATTTGCACCCCCCTCTCAACCTTTCAATTTATTTTTCCAACCCGTTTTGGCGCCTCCTAAGGTTGGCGCTCGGGGACATGTGTCCCCCTGCCGCCCCCCCCCCCTCGCTACTCTTCTGGATATGACCACATGTTCCCTTATGTTCCCAGATGTTCCCATGTTTACTTTTCATGTTTTATTTATTTCTCCTATATACTATTTAAACTTAGATACAAATTCCGTATTCGATCTTTTATTTCTTGCAACATTATAAAGATATTCTTTTCTTTTACTTTTGCTGGAGGTAGCGATGTCTGTCTTTTTCTATACTTGACTCCACGCCTGGTGTTTTGTTAGTCCTCTCTTTGAAGCTATCATTGTATCATTTAAAGACTTGAATACAATTTTGGTTCATTGAAATTTTAACACGGATTTTTTTTTCTTCTAGAGGCAGAACCTATATAAGCAACCATGTCGTACATACATCAGGTAAACATTTTTCTAAGTTTTGTATTCAATTATTACATAATTTATTTCCTTTAAGCTTCGTTATATATTTTATAACTTTTTTTATCTAATGAAGAAGTAATTCTTGAAAAATGTTCTAGTTACTTTGATACTTATGAAAACGTCAATTTCAACGCAATTTTTACTTATATCGCTACACTGTTACTAAATCCGACTCTAACTAAAGGTCTCAACCCCCCTCCCCCCACAACCCCATCCTAATTCAAATTATATTCCTCTAACCTTGAATCTGTAACCCTTTTCTTAAAAGCAATGAAATTCGACAGTAAACTCAATTTTCGTGCCGACAGTTTATCTTTACTGGATGCAATGTTATACACCACTGTAGTGTATGCTGTTTGTTCTAAACACAAGGTGCCCGATGTTTCCTTCTCCATTTCTTCTATCCCCGAGACAAAGTAATTGATATTTTCTTTCTCCTATCTGCATTACTTTTCATGTGTCCTAAAGACTAAGTAAATGCTAGGCTTACTTCCTTCTTTTAGTAACACTGAGTTTTCTGTGACGTCCAGATACAGTAGACCTACTTGATATTTTCTTCTTCTGTTGATAGAGTTTTCTGTGTACTCAATACAAATTTATGATAGTTCCTGATGTTCTTAACATTGCTTAACAAAAGTACTTGACCTTTTCTGCTTCAGTTAATATTGCTTTTTTTGTCCTCATTACGAAATTCCCGATATTTCCTATTTCTGTTAATATTGCTTTTTCTTTGGATTCAATATAAATTCTTGGTATTCCCTTCTCTTGGTAATATTGCTTTTCGTATGTCCTCAATGAAAGGTTCCCGCCATTTCCAGCTTCTGTTTAACATTGCTCTTCCTGATTTCTCAATACTAAGTACTTGATATTTCCTTCTCGTGTGAACATTGCTTTTCCTTTAACCTTAAGATTAAGTAGGCCTATTAGATATTTCCATTCTCTTTGTATCATTAATTTTGTGCGTGTTCTCAAAGACAACAACTAGATATTTCCATATCTTGTCAACATTGCCTTTCTTATATCTTCAAGACTAAGTACTAGATATTTCCTTCTTTTGTGAACAATTCTCTTCCCGTGTCCTAGTCTAAGGTCTTGATATTACCTTACCTTTTGAACAAAGCTTTTACTGTGTCCTCAAAGCCTAGACATTTCCATATCCTGTGAAGATTGCTTTTCTTATATTCTCAAGATTAAGTTCTTGATACTACCTATTCATGGTAACGTTGCTTGTGGTGTGTCATCTCGTGTGAACATTGCTTTTCCTTTGTCATAAAGACTAAAAAGGCTTATGAAATGTCCTTCTCTTCATAACATTGCTTTCCCTTTGTCATTAAGACTTCTTCTTCTTCGTTCTTAATTTTTAGTGTTGAAGGGGATCGAGATTTATCTGCCAGTGGGTTTGAACTCGAGACTTTGTTCAAATTTATGAACCATGAGCTTTTTGCCGACTCGACCACGCCTCCAACACAATTAAGCGTTACGTGTCAACTGGTTATGCGCCATTGAGGCCATTGACTCCGATTTCAGCCTGCTTTTCTTTATGGATTTGCTTCCATTGCCTTTGTCCAACCAAGAACAAACTACAAGGCAGCAGTTGTTTAATTTTGGAGTTGTCTCTCCTAGAAGAGTGGCTGTTCCCAGCTAACGAGCCTCATCTGCCCGAGGGTTCGAACTCGAGACTTCTCGGTTTAGCAACCATGAGCTTTACCGACTCGACCACGCAGACTATATAGGCTAATTAAATATGTCCTTTTGTTGGTAACATTGCTTTTCCCGTGACATAAAGACTAATTAGACTTATTAAATAGGTCCTTTTCTTGTGTTGCTTTTCCTGTGTCATAAAGACTAAAAAGGCTTATTAAAAATGTCCTTTTCTTGGTAGCATTGCTTTTCCTGTGTCCTACACATAGTACTTACCGCTTCCATCTCAGTTGACATTGTGCTTCCATGTTCTTCCAGCAACCGATATCCATGAATCAGAACTCCAGCAATGTCAACACCGTGGTCGTCAACAGCCAACCCGCCCCCATCGTCAAGCAGCCCCGGGAGTGGGGCACAGGCCTGTGTCAGTGTTTTGATGACTGCGTCATTTGTAAGTATAGCGGTGGTCAGTTTTTTTGGACAAGGAGTGGCGGCTGTGGGTTGTTTTTTTTTGAGAAATGGGTTTTGGTGAGGGGCTTCAAAACTAGAAGGAGGATTTATTTAGATGGGTGTCGAGGTCCAGGGGATGGGTGTATATACAGAGTGGGAGGGGCGTGTATACAGAAGTCTGTGGTGTGGGCGTCTATACAAAGGTCTATGAGATGGGTGTATATACACAGAAGTCTGTGGTGTGGGGGTCTATAAAGGGATCATTGTGATGGGCGTCTATACAGAGTGTGATAGGCGGTTATACAGAGTGTGATGGGCGTTTATACAGAGTGTGATGGGCGTTTATACAGAGTGTGATGGGCGTCTATTCAGAGGTCTGTGTGATGGGCGTCTATTCAGAGGTCTCTGGGTTAATAGTTTATACAAAGATCATATGATACAGGCATTCCCGGAGGTCTGTGAGGTAGGCTTCTATTAGGAGGTCTAAGCAGTGGCGTAGCCAGGATCGTCTCAAGGGGGGGGGGGTCCAATTTTTACCCGGGGACAAACTTTCGATTTACACCCCCCCCCCCCCCTCAAACTTTCGATTTGCACACCCCCCTCAAACTTTCGATTTGCACCCACCCTCATACTTTTTATATATACCGAGAGGTCTATGGGGGGGGGGGGGTTATGACCTCCCCTAACCCCCCCTGCCTACGCCACTGGGTCTAAGGAATAGCCGTCTATACAGAGCTCCACTTTGTGGGCATTGATACAGACGTACGTAGAGTAAGACATTGCTTTTAATGATAATAACAGAACCCTTATTTTCTCACTAATGACAAGATGGCAAAACGAAATGTGATCGTTTACTAAGTTAATTGACGAAAGACGTCTCCGCTGGTTCTAGAGAAATACCTGACTTAGTACTCCACTTTATCTAAGTGATATACGTCTACAGCTTTTAGACTAAAGTTCCTGTAGTTCAGTAACTCGATAGTTCTCTCCCCCCCCCCCCCTACACACACACACCCCTTCCCTAATTCTTCACGGTTAAAGAAGCTCAGGTTTTGTCATATATAGGACGTGAAAACATAACCCTTGAATAGCCTTAAAAAAAGTAGGGCGTTGCAACCCATTCAGTTAACGCCTACTTGTGGTTGAATTATTCGTCGCAATGGCTGTATTGTATACAGGCTTATGAAGATGACATTGATATCAAATATAAAGAAAATGAATAGGAGCTTTTTGATGGGTCCGACATACATCATCATTATGATCATATGGCCAAAACTAGTGTTCGTCTCCTATATTTCTAAGCCCACATCCCTGTAAAGAATCGGGATATTGACGCTCCATATAATTGATTTTTAGTATGGGCTGTATAGGATATCGAATTCATGTCTAGTAATTAGGTCTATGGACACAATTTTTTCACACAATTATTCTTTCGTTCCGGGAGGGGGAGGGGGGCGGGGAGATTTCAGGCGGGTGAACTGTGGTTAAAAATAAAATATTTTGTATATAAAATATATTGTTTCTCTGTTTCTGCCGGGGAACTGTGGACATATGGAGATGGTAGCTGGTTAGTGTCCCCCCCCCCCTTCACTCCTCTAGCAGAAATGTCTGTAAGAAACTCTACACAAACTGCATACCTCCACTGTTACTAACACTAGTCATTTCTTTTGTGGTTAGATTCCTTGTAGTTTGCATTCGCTCTTTCTTACATGGTTTGTTTTATATTCAATACATTTTTTATTCAATATGTCTTTTTGTAACCAACACTTCTTTTTATTTACAACACATTTTTCTATTTATCACATCTTTTTCTATTCAATGCGTTTCTTTTTAACCAACGTATCTTTTTTTCTATTCAACAAATATTTTTTTCTATTCAACAAATATTTTTTCTATTCAACAAATTTTTTTCTATTCAATGCGCCTCTTTTTAACAAACACATCTTTTTCTATTCAATACATCTGTCAGTTTTAAACACTTCTTATTCTATTCATTACTTCACTTAGTATTAAAAACAATTTTTTTTCAACTCACTAAGCCTACGTTTTATTTTTATTAAACACATCGTTTTGTACTTGGCACATCTTTTCACATCTTTTAGTATTCTAGACGCTGTTAATTGTTATTTTCTTATCCATGCACCGCATTATGGATCTTTCTGTTAGATGTGTTGATTTATCGAACAAATCACGTATATTGTGCGATCACCCATGCGTTAGGAAATTGATTTTTCCCGCAGCCTAAATTAATTTAGTGCAAAAAAAAGTAGGTTATGGTTTGGTATGTTGTGGATTTTGTGTCGCATTTCGATTGACATTTCGCAACTCGGTAAATAGATATTGAGGGGGTAAGGTAGAGTTGGGGTAGGTCTTGGAGATATTGAGGAGGTAAGGTAGAGTTGGGATAGGTCTTGGATATATTTAGGGGGTGAGGTAGAATTAAGGTGGGTCATAGAAGTATTGTGGGGATGAGATAGTACTAAAATAGGTCAAGGAAAGAGGATGTGAAGAGGGGGAGGGGAGGGGATATCAAGGGAGTATTTAGGTGTGGAGTGAGTATTGAAGTAGGTCGGGGAAGTTTTGATTGGGTGTGGTAGTATTGAACGGGGATAAGGTAGTGTTGTGAGGGGATAGGTAGTATTGAGGTTGGTCAAGTAAAGTATTGATTGTGATGAGGCCGTAACGCGGTGTTGAGATGGAGAGTAAGTATGGAGTCGTCCATAAATGACGTCACACTCGTAGGGGGGAGGGGGGTCGGTAATTTTGTGATGATGTGTGATGAGGGTGAGGGGGGGGGGGGGGTTCAGATGGTGCGACTTAACACTTTTACTTCATGGATAAGAAACGTTAGTAAATGAATGAATTTTAGACGTTATCTAGCGTTTTAGAAAACAGTTTTAATAAATTATAATAGGAATTGATTAAAATACTCTATTTTGACATATTTCAGACAAAATTTTGGAAAAATATCGATGCGATTTTGAGGGGGATTGTAAGCTGAGGTGTGCCGTCATTTTAGGGGGGGTCTGGCTTTTTGTGACGACGTTTGACGGAGGGGAAGGGGGAGGTAAAAATCGTCAAAAAAGCGTGACGTCATTTATGGATGACCCCTAATGAGGCAGGTATAGTGTAATATTGATGAGGTAAAGAGGTACAGAGGTAGGAAAGAGTTAAAGTGTAGAGGTTAAGTATCAATATGAAAAACTGAGTAAACATCATGACACTTTTTACTTTCTTTTAACTTGTATACTTCCTTACAAATGAACATACTCAACAGTAGAATTTAAACTCGTCAAATTTTCTTCTATTCAATATTTGATTATTCTCAATAATTCTATTCTCAAGTACTTTTGTTATTAATTCCAAAGCTCGTTACTTTTATAGACACCATGAGATAGAAATCATGCATTGATTTTATGATCTGGGGAACGTGAAAAATGTTTGCGTCTAAGGGTGTGGGAGAAGCTTTAAGTAAACAACTTGAGCCGTCTAAACATGAAACACGTTTCGCTAGTTTTAGGCGGGGTTTTCTTGTGACGTAGTGCATGCATTGAAAATATTGAATCTTGAACGTAAGGCGTGAAGGGAGAACTGTGACGACACGTTTGATGTGGGCGAGTCACGTGGTTGGGGCAATGGCGAGTCACGTGGTTGGAGCAAGGGCGAGTCACGTGGTTGGGGGCAAAGGCGAGTCATGTGGTTGGGGGCAAAGGCGAGTCACGTGGTTGGAGCAAGGGCGAGTCACGTGATTGGAGCAAGGACGAGTCACGTGGTTGGAGCAAGGGCGAGTCACGTGGTTGGGGGCAATGGCGTGTCACGTGGTTAAAGCAAGGGCGAGACTCCTGGTTGGGGCAAAGGCTAGTCACGTGGTTGGGCAAGGGCGAGTCACGTGGTTAAAGCAAGGGCGAGTCACGTGAACACACGAGGTGGTTGCGGCAAACATTGATGTATGCTAATGTAAGATCCGGGAATCGGATGAGAAGCCATTGTAGTTTAAAGCGTTGTTGAACGCGTTGTTTAAGATCTGGGAATCGGATGAGTAGTCGAGGTCGGCGTGGTCGGGTATGTAAAGCTCATGATTATGAAACCGAAAAATCCAAAGTTCGAATCCCGGGGCTGATGAGGCTTGATAACTACGGACAGCCACTCATCTAGGAGAGACAACTAAAATCAAAGAACTGCTGCCTTATATTATGTATTTAAGTGGACAAAAGCTATGGAAGCAAATCCCAAAAAAAGTTGGTTGAAAAAAACTTGAAATTTGTATGAAAGATAAAACTTTCCGATAGTTCCAAAACACACAAATATTACTGTTTTTAAATTATTTCTTTACAAAAAAACATGTTTTTTCTTTAATTCCGCAATATATTTGAATATATTTTTATATAAGAAACATGACACATTACAGAAGTATTTTAATTTAAACTGCCGTACAAAAGCGTACCTAAAAATCAAGTATCACGAAGCTAAAGTATTTACGTGTTTCCCTGACCATGATTATTGAATGGATTGTGTGAGATAATACCCAGATCAGAGTTTCTTCCAGGCATCTTATCGGGGGGAGGGCTCAGCCCCCCCCCCCCCCTCGAAGAAAGTCTACCGCCACCCCCCCCCCCCCCCCCACCGAACGAAATGGAATTTATATAGAAAATATATACTTTTACCAGTGTCCGCCCCCCCCCCCGTAAAATGTTGACCGCCCCCCCCCATCCCGAAAATATCAAGTGCCCCCTCCCCCCCCCCCCCCCGAGAAAACAGTCTGGAAGAAACACTGACCCAGATGCCTTTAATTCTCAGCCTAAAGAAAAACGAATCCTTAAAACACACTTTGAAAAGATGTTTTATGTAGGGTACATTTGAGTGGATTATGGGAGTGGGGTGGGAGAGAGAGTCACGTATGTAAAGTAAATATAGGACGAGACGGCGTTGCTTCGCGATTTATAGGCTGGTGAAACTAAATCAACATTTCGTTGAGATGTAGAATTGGGGTTGGGTGAAGTTTGTGTGTGTGTGTGTGTGTGTGTGTGTTTGTGTGTGTGTTTGTTTGTGTGTGTGTGTGTGTGTGTGTTAAGATGATCACAAGATAAGTAAAGTGCTCTTTCATGTCCATGGGTGCAGGTGAAGTAGAGTTGACATATTTCACTGTCCTGTGGCATACGAAGGTGTAATGTGATTACACAATAGGACACTTCATTTTGTGTTGTTGTTTTTTTTTTCAATTCCTGTTCACTTCTCAGATCTACATAAAATAGCTTCGGTTTATTTAAATAATTTACTAAAATAATATAATCTATAATGATGTTTAAAAAAAAAAGAATTTAAAAAAGCAAAAATTCATCTCGAAAATGCAACACAATTGAGACAAACAGATGATGAAATCTTAAATTCAGAATTAATCACACAATCGATAATGTCCCCTAAACCTGGAACTTAATTCATCATATTTAATTATTGTAATTATGAAAAGAAATTATTTTGTTTTTCTAAAAACATTTTTAATTACGTTAGAAAAATAATTTAGAAAATTGTTTTTTTTTATTTCATTTGTGTAAGAAACTTTTAATTGATTACAACAGATTACCGCTGTATTTAATATTGTTTAATTGTTCATCCCTGCTCTAACATTAATCCGCCATACACCTTCTTACAGGCATATGTGGTACCTTCTGCCTCGTCTGTCTATTCTGTATTTAATCCTATTTATTTGGTCATCCTGCTCTTACTTCCACTAATCCGCCATACACCTTCTTACAGGTATGTGTGGTACCTTCTGCCTCGTCTGTCTATTCTGTATTTAATCCTATTTATTTGGTCATCCTGCTCTAACTTCCACTAATCCGCCATACACCTTCTTACAGGTATGTGTGGTACCTTCTGCCTCGTCTGTCTATTCTGTATTTAATCCTATTTATTTGGTCATCCTGCTCTAACTTCCACTAATCCGCCATACACCTTCTTACAGGTATGTGTGGTACCTTCTGCCTCGTCTGTCTATTCTGTATTTAATCCTATTTATTTGGTCATCCTGCTCTAACTTCCACTAATCCGCCATACACCTTCTTACAGGTATGTGTGGTACCTTCTGCCTCGTCTGTCTATCCATGAAGACGGCCAGTGAGATGGACGAGTCCATGTGCGTACCCTGCTGTGTACCCGGGGGTGGCGTCGCCATGAGGGTCAAGATCAGGACTCAGGAGAATATCTATGTGAGTTGTTTGGTCCGAAGGTTAATAAGTCAATTCGGTCAAACATGATTAGGTCAAACAGTATTACGCCAATTACGTCAAACGTGATTAGCTCAAAGGGTACTAAGTCAATAAGGTCAAACATGGTTAGGTTCAATGGATTTAAGTCAATTAGATCAAATATGCTTAGGTCAAACAGTACTAAGTCAATTAGGTCAAATATAATTAGCTCAAGCTAATATAACTATATTCAAGTTTTATTGTTTTAATAAACGTAAACTATAACCAAGTTTTATTGTTTTAATCTACGTAAACTATAGCCATGATGTATTTGTTTGACTAACGTAAACTATAACCATGTTATATTGTTTGACTAACGTAAACTATAACCATGATGTATTGTTTGACTAACGTAAACTATAAACATGCAGTGGCGTAGGGAGGTCGGGTGTCACCCGCGGTGCGGCACTTAATGGTGTCACCCCCAGATGTGTAGTGACCCTTCCCGTGGACAAACTTTCAAATTTTTGATTTGCATCCCCCCCTCCACCTCAATCTTTTGATTTTCACCCCCTCATCAAGTTTTTACTATATATTTTGCTATTTTTTGCCTTGGTGTCACCCCCCCTAAATGGTGTCACCCGGTGCGATCCGCACCCCCCCCCCCGCCCCCCTCGCTACGCCTCTGTAAACATGATGTATTGTGTGACTAACGTACACCACTCCTTCTGATTCCCAGGGTTCCATCTGCAACGACTGTTTGCTGGAAACGTTCTGTGGTCCCTGCTCCCAGTGCCAGCTAGCCAGAGAGGTCAAGCACATCAGACAGGGTCGCAACACCAGGGCGATCTAACCCCCCAGCCCGCCATCTTGATCATCCAACCCTTCAACCCAGCCTAGCTGAACCAACCCTCCAGCCCTTCGCTTACAACCCTCTGACTGCTCTTTCACTAACTCACAACTCGAAGTATGTTCTGTTCATGTTACGCTACTTTCGTAAAATTATATGATTGAAAACATTTTTATAATAAATAAATAATATATATTTCCGTGTTGGTTTTTTTTTCTTCTTTTTTTTTGTTGTATTGATCATTTTTTAAAGTTTACTTCCCTGTCTGAAGGTCAAATTCGTGCCTGATGCAAAACTGGGTCACTGTGTGTCCTTGACCTAACCGTATTCCAGTGACAATACGAACTAACGAATTCAATTAGCATTAACCGTGTTAACGGCGAACAACAGCTGTTGATTATCATTATCTAACACCAACGTAGTGTAACGTGTATGTTTAGCGAAACATAAAACAACCTTTTGAATTAAGGTTATACATCAGTGGGGCTTTGTTATATACAAATGCGTAGCACGATTTTAAAGAAATGGGCGTTCTCTACGTATAGTTTGCGATTTAGGAATCTAAGGCAGTTGTCTGTTTTACATCAAATTTACTTAGGGTCCCAAGATAGTAAGTCTTCTTTACAGAACCTCACTAATCTGACGGTCAGTGTTGGAGTGTTTCTTCCAGACTTTATTCTCCGGGGGGGGGGGGCACCTGAAATTTTCGGGGGGCGGTAGACTTTCTTTGGGGGGGGGGGGGGGCGGACACTGTTAAAAGTATATATTTTCTATATAAATTATATAAATTTAATTTCGTTCAGGGGGAGGTAGAATTTTTTCGGGGGGGGGGGGGGGATGCCTGGAAGAAACTCTGCAGTGTTGTAAAGCACTTCAATAAAAAGTTTTTTTTTTTTTTAAGTTTTGTTTATAATGGTGTAGGCTTTGCTATATTCGTTAGTGTAAAATATTTGCGTCGAATTTTAACGAGGACTTACATATTACTAAAAATAATTTGCAGGAAAAAAAATATTTATCTACATGCTGTATACATCCTGTGAATCCTAAATCGTAAAAACAACTGTGTAATCATACATGAAACGACAGCAATGTACCAATAACAGAATGTATGCTTAGAGACAATTATCAAAATCTGAATTTCTTTTCTTCATTAAAAGCAAACATGTTTTAAAATTTCGATGTGTATACGTATTAATTTTAATAGGTAAGATCCGAAGAGATGCCTGGAAGAAACTCTGTTGGAGAGACAACTCTAAAATCAAACACCTACTGTCTTGTAGTTTGTTCTTGGTTGGACAAAGTCTATGGACGCAATTCCTAAAAGAAAGAAAGCTGAAATCGGACTCAACGGCCTCAATGACGCTTAACAAGTTGACACGTAATACTTGATTGTGTAGGAGGGAATCCCTTCCAAAATGAAAAATAAATAAGCACGCAGAAAAAGAGATGGTTTTATCACAATACACTATGTGTTACTTCATACATTGGTTCTGAGATTTCGACAAAGGCGCAATAAAAAATAAATATCATAACCTCCATCAAATACACAACATGAGAAGTTTAAGGGGCAGATTTTGTATGGGAGATAACTCTATTAATTACTCCCAACAAATTGAGTAAACGAGTTATGCTTACATGGTAGGCCTAATATATTCTCACATTGTTTTATGACTTAATATCTCAGAAAGCGTTATTTTCGTTGATGGTAATTTTATTTATTTTAATATATACAGGTGTTGATTGTTAATTAACGGTGGGTGACTTCACGTAACGCCCAATGTGTTACTTAAAGAGTGAGAGAGAGAGAGAGAGAGAGAGAGAGAGAGAGACGGAGAGAGACATGAAACAGTGGACAGAGAGTTGAGAGAGACCGAGATTGTGAGAGAGTGATAGAGGGAAAGAGAGGAGAGAGATGATAGAGATATGAAAGAGACAGGAGATAGAGGAGAGGGGGAAAGATGAGAGAGTGAGAGAAGAGACATAGAGAGTGTGAGAGAGAGATGGAAAGAGAAAAAGAGAGAGAGGAGAGAGAGACAGAGGGTTAGAGAGAGTGAGAGAGGGAAAAAGAGGAAAGAGACAGAGAGGATAGAGAGAGAGTGAGAAAGAGAGTGCAAGTACATTATACATTAAGAATAGGCCAATAGATAAAAGTATAATTCTGTACTAGATGTAACAGAAGTAACAAACAGCTGTTCAAAGTTAAGTAATAGATCATCAGATAGGTGTAGACTTCATGTGTACTGTGTGTTTCTGTATCTGTGGGCGTTTAAGTTATGAGTTTGATGTAGGTAAGTTGATTTTCTATTTTTTTTGTTTTGTTTATACAACTTCCGCACCTTACACACAACTGCCCACACACCACACCCTACCTCATCACACACATCCACAACAAGATACACGCAGTGGCGTAGCGAAGACGGGTGTCACCCGGTGCGTCACTTAATGGTGTCACCCCCTAGTGGCGTAGCGACCCTTCCCGGGGACAAACTTTCAATTTACGATTTGCACCCCCCCCCCCCCCTCCCTCAAACTTTTAATTTACACCTCTTAAAAGAGTATTTAACACTCGAATTAATCACTTAATTAAGTGGAATTATTATTTTTCTCTATATATTTTGCTATTTTTTGCCTTGGTGTCACCCCCTAAATGGTGTCACCCGGTGCGGTCCGAAATCCCCCCCCCCCCTCGCTACGCCACTGGATACACGTAATAGACCAAATAATAATCCAACCAATATAGTGTGGGATTAAATTATTTTTACCAATAGAATAATACGCATGTATATAAATACCTATTTATATATGTGTTATTTAATTAATTACAGGTGAAAATCTAGAAACTAAAGTCTAATGTAATTTATAAAAAAAAACAGAATGAACAAAAGTTATCACATACACCCAGAGGCAGCAAGAGGGCTAATGGCGTGTTTTCAGACAGACGAGAACCGCGAGAACTTCAGCGACTTTACAGTCTGTGTCGGCGGCCGTACCTTCCAGTGCCACCGTTACCTCCTGTCCGCCTGCTCTGGATTCTTACAGGCCCTGCTGAGGTCGGACATGAAGGAGAGAACACAGAACCAGGTCACGCTTAATGGTGTTTCCCCGGACACGTTTCAACTGGTTCTTGACGTCATTTACAAGGCGGCTGACGTCCTGACTAAAGAGAACGTCATTGATGTCTGGCACGCTGCCAACCTGTTACAGATAGATTTCCTTTTCAAGTTATCTGAGACTTATATAGCTTGTTGGGTTGACTCTTCTAATTACTGGAATATTTATCAAAACACGTTGCTGCTAGATTCTAGAACAGTGAAAAAAGCGTGTCATGACTTTATGGCATCAGAATTCATTACTGTTTCTGGTAGTGATAACTTTAACAAAATTGAGCCAGAAGATCTCTTTAAAGTGCTCAAACATGAAAATTTATTCGTTTGTCCTGATTTTGTCGTGCCGGCAGTTGTCCGATGGGTCTGTGCGGATCCCAACAATCAAGATAAGGCTCGATCCCTTCCAACACTAAAAATTAAGAACGAAGAAGAAGAAGAAAAAGAAGAAGAAGAAGAAGAAGAAGAAGAGGAAGAAGAAGAAGAAGAAGAAGAAGAAGAAGAAGAAGAAGAAGAAGAAGAAGAAGAAGATAAGAAAAACGGAAGAGAAAATAAAAAGGATGTTTTGGACCGCTACGGATATTTGCAACGACATTTCAGCGCCATCAACACGCGAATACTCTCCAACAAAGTTTTAAAGACCTTGTTGAAAAACGAGAGTCTTGCTGCAAATAAAAATGCCGTTCTGGCTATCAATCAAATCGTCTTGGAGAGGATGGACGTGAACTTTCAGCCTGACCCGTCTTTGTACACCCCAGCTTCGGGGTATGATTACCGCAACGTCAAACCTTATCTGGCAAGATGGAACCGCCATGGGAATCCGTATGAGTCAAGCAGACATTTGATGAGGCAGTGTATACATTGCAACTGTATGTACTTACCAGTGCTGAAGTAAAATGAACTGTGCACTTATGAGCACGTATTGAAGTAAAATGTAGCAAAACCAGTGTAGACATTACTTTTGCTGAAGTAAGGTGTATAATGAAATGTGTACGGACTTACTGCTGAAGTAAAATGAACTGTGCACTTACAAACCCGTATTGAAGTAAAATGTAGCATAATCAGTGTATATGTTACGGTCAAAGCCCGAAGTCGGCCAATGCGCGGATTGGCCAATATCGTCTCCCATAGGTCGGTCAAAGTCCGAAACTTTACTTGATTTCGGCCTTTGGCCGGCCAATCCGCGGACTGGCCATGGTGGACAGGCCAAAGTCTTAATTAGAAGATCATCTGGCTAGGAACGCCCGGCCAAAATCCGAATTAGAAAATCATGAGCAGATTTTGGGTTTTTTTATTGCCGTAAGGATCTTGAAATTAAGTCTTTATTGATTATTAATTAAAGTAAATGACAGAAACATTCAAATTTTTTATTGTACTATAGTCTCAATCAATCAATATTATCATTTGTTACAACAAGTTGAACTTTTATGGCATTTAGAATTACATAGCAGCTTGTTATTTTTACACTTGCAGCGATTTGTTGTGCACTTGGTTATGCAATTGCAGCGAGTGTAGCCTTGGCCCCCAGTCAATGATTATGAAGATGCGATGGTTCTTTGTGATTTTTCCTCAGTGCCAACTGACGACAATAAGAGCAGTTTTTCGTGAAGAATTGAAAACTCACTTCTAGCATAAAGTTGTTTTAGAACACCATGTTCCGTTCCTAATTTGTAGAAACCGCCCTCGACGCTCATGACAACTGCAATCACGCTTCGGGGATCACCGCGACCTCTGTCAACATCTGGAACACGGATGCGTACATTGTCACCCACTTTACCATCTTTAAATTTTGTATTTGATGTTTTAAGCATCTTAGCACCTTGATTTTGCAAGCCAGCATGAGCTGCTGACCTGTGTTCCAGGATGTCTTGTTTGTTGTGACACAATCTGCAGGTAATGTTCCCTCCGTACCCTTCGTCTGCTTCATTGGGTACTCCACAAATAGCATGGACATCTTTGCCACAGGATCCACAAGAATGAGCTGTACAAACAAGAGCTAAACAATACGTTACTCACAATGAAACCGCACCCAGAATAATGAAAACGCGATCACAACTT